CAGTTCGCAAAGTGTTGAATTACTGTACTTTACCAGTAGAAGAAGCGCCATGGAAGGTCCATCAGTTCGGTTTCAGATCCCCAAAACCCAGAGCCACATCAGACCAGAACTGGCTCGACTGGCTCTCTTCGGCAGGGGGTAAGGATTGAATCATGCGTGGATGTGTTAACAGAATCCAAAGTTCTGTAGATTCCCAAATTTTCCTAACTGTTTCGAGGTTTACATTTTGCATAGTGTGGTAAACCCCTATATACAGCCTAAACCTACCATTTGGGGATGGTAAAACTACCACCTATGAAAATGGTGACTTTTGGGATGGTTTATTTTTGGGTTTACCTCAAACCTCCCAAAAAAATATTGGATGAACTAACTGTAGTAATAGTAACAACCCTTTGACCATCGCCAAAAAAAGAAGAAACATTTCCCACAATGTGGGGCCCCTCAGTTATAAGTTGGTTTATAAACCCCATTAACTATAGTTATATCTACCATAAACCATAGTTATTGGAGTTAAAAACCAATTTAGCTAACTATGGGACACCACCATGCACGGCTGGCCAGTCGCTATGTTGGGCGCTGCTGTTGTTGGTTGGGGTGAACTTTCTCTTCGGGGTGGTCTTCATGCAACTGTCCGTGGACTTTCTGGAAACTTGGCAAAGTCATGACTGGTGGTAAAACCAGTGAAGGGTTGTTCAACCTGAATTTGAGATATACCATAGTGTTTAATAGTGGTTAATAATGATAGTTAATGGGGATTAATGGTGGATTACCCTCTGGTAAACTAAAATAGTGAACTGGAAAGTCACCATGCTATCAATGGGTAAATCCACGATTTCTATGGCCATGTTCAACAGCTATGTTAGTTTACCAGAGGGTAGTGAGATGACGATCCAAACAAACATATCCCTGGAAGCAGTTAAAACATGTTAAAACTTGAAATACCCGCCAATCAAATTATGGACGCCTATTGCATGATTTCATGCCAATGAGTGAAGTAGACCGTTGTGCCCTTTATTGGTAAGGTGACGTATCCTTGAAGATGTTTTCAGGAAAGGCATTCATTAGGGTGGACCCAAAACAGGTGCTACAAGGGAAATTCACGGCCTTATTACTTGCCGTTCTCCTACCAAGGAACCCTTTTTAGCCTTCTGGTCATAGTCATGTTGCTATTCATCGCAAGAGATACCTCAGACTTGGCTCAAGATGGTTTCAAGGTAAAACTACGGAGAGAATTGTAAGAAAATGTTGTAAGATACTGAAACATTCTGAAACAATTTAAAACCTATATTTTTCGCAACTTTGAAACCATGTCATTCTCTTGATATTGGTTTTTTGTTTGATGATTTATTGTACCTTGCCAGCCAGGACAATCATAGATCTCTGCCCCTATTGGTGATCCATCCCACTCAGTTCCATGGAAATCCCACCGAAGTTAGTAAAATTCACCACGAATGTAACATCTGCAGGATTTTACCAAGTTACCGGCATCTGCTTTTGAGGGTTATACTCGGTGATTAACCATTCATTTTAATCATCCAATCATATAACTAGAAGTGATTAACATCCATTAACTAATCACCATTGTCAACCATTCATAATCCTTATATTACTCATCTATGTCTATGTCCCATTATTAGTTCATAAGTTTAACCATTATTCACCATGGAACATATATCAACCATTTTTGCTATCATTAACAATCTAATCATCTATCATTAACCATTATTAACCAATAGTACATAATTTATCACTATTAACCATTTTTAGCCATGCAGAAAACCATTATTAACCATCTATTCTTCCCCACCCCAGGAGAACTCGGAAGCCTCGTCCTCGCGGCATGCCGAGTTGCGCCTCGGCGGAATCCAGTCGTCCGTTGTAGCGATAAAAGGGTGATGGTATAGTACGCACCATTACAATGGTAACGGTTATTGATGTGGGATTCACCAATTATAAACTTCTATTGGGGATGGTTAATATTATTGGCTTTACCTCAGTAGAGTTTGATTGGCACTTAGTATTCCAGTTTGATTGGCTGAACCCGCGTGTGAATAACCATCCAGGATACTCCTTGGTACAGCTACCGAGGAAAAGATACGTATGACATGATTGTTTTGTATGTTTTTGTTGATCAAACCGAAACCCTTCAAATGTTCAACAATCAACATGCCTATTTTTCATGGTTAATCTAAACATCCGTTTGAAGGTACATGGAGGTACTAAAGTCTTATCTCTTCAATATAGATTCCGTGACTGATTAAAATCCACATCGATTACCCATAACTCCTGATTTTTCTCTGATTGAAATCCATAATTTCCCGCTTTCACAATCTGGTTGGTGGTTTGGAACATTAATTTTATTGTTCCTTTCAGTTAAGAATAATAATCCCAACTGCCTATCATATTTTTCAGAGGGGTTGAAACCACCAACCAGGTAGAATGTAATGTGGGTAAAAGAAAGACAAACAATCCCCCAATCTCCATGAACAATATGAATAGTTGGTAGTTTCACCATTCCCAAATGGTTGGTTTATGCTGGTTTATCATTGTTTTGATGACGCACATTAATCTAATGATTAATGGCTGATGATTAATGGAAATAGTATAATACTGTTATCTAATGGTTAATGGTTGGTGATTAGTACTTGATTTATACTAATGAATGGTTAATGTAATCATGATTGATCATTAGTCATTTTAAGTGTAAGTGTTATGCATTGTTAATAATGATTAATAACCAAAATTTCTGGTGGTTATCGATGGCGAATTTAATACCCATAAAAAGGGCAACCTGGGATGGTGTGCTATTGCTTGGGGTAACAATAGTACAAAGCATGGTTTGAATGTCAAATAAAACTTGGTTTACAATGAACCATGGTTTGAATGGTTTGAACCAAATATTAGCTACTAATGTGGTAACATATATTTTTTGGTGGTTTAAACCATGAACCATGGACATCCAGGATGTTTCACCACCAAGAACGGCTCGGGTTCAACGGGTTCAACGTTTCGTCATCCAAGATGATAGGATCATCCAAACGTTTCGATCAGTTGGGAGTCGTTAATTTGGCCCAGATTTGCCCAGATACTGTTTATTTACAAAAATTGTGACTGGCCCAAATGGTTACTGGGCCAGATCACCAATTTATAAATAAACTCTTAAAGAAAATTTGGTTGTATCTGTTTATTTACAAATTGTGTGACTGTTGCCAAGAAGAAGAACCTGAAATAACACATAGATAGTCGTACTATAACTTTAGGCATCTTTGAAAAACATCGTTTTATCTACGGCAACGAGCGATTTCGCAGGTTGAGATACTTTGGCTCTCTCCCCCGCACGATGCTCACCTTGTCCGGAGCTCTAGACTGTGGTGGAGATGGTCCGAGGTAAGTAACCATAGAAACCAGCTATATTATGTTATGTTAAACATATTGTTAATATAACCATAGAAATCATGTTTTGAATAGTGGATATCTAATATAACTGGTTGGTGGTTTGGAACATGGCTGGATGATTTTCCCCCAAGGTCGTTGGGGATGATGATCCAATCTGACTCTCACTCCATCATATTTTTCAGAGGGGTAGGCGAAAAACCACCAAGTAGAAATTGACTTACAACTGAAAATGTTGGTGAAACTTATGAGTTTATTGGGTTATGTTATATAACTATATCCCATAGGATCCATGGTGCTGCTATATATGGTAACATTTACCATCAATATACCCCAAATGTTAGCATATATACCATACATGGATCCTATGGGTATAGTTCATGGGCTTGATAAATGCTTTGTATTGTCATAAAAACTCGAAATTGGTGTGTATTGTCATAAAGCCCAAAACCGTCCAAACATGTTGTTTTCTTCAAGGGAAACCTATAATCATCAGAAAAAAATAGTAATGAGTAATGATTAATAACAATCATAATTGGGGTATCCAATTTGAATCCCCCTCGCTAATTGATCATACTAGAAAAAAATCGGCATGACGCCTGTTTGGCTATTTTGTTTGTATCAACCTCAGGAAATACTTTGGGGAAATAGGTGCTATTCAGAAGTACCCTCGCAAGCTGAAATTTGACCCAGAAACTGCTAAGCTAAGTTGATGTTATTAATTTCATCATGTCAATCGACGATATTCAATTCATGAAGACACTTATGAATATCCTATGGAATCCATGTATGGCGTATTGTTTCTGTCCTGGGAACCCACAACAATATGTATTACATGGATTATGGATGGGTGCTGACATTGCAGGTTTATCTAAATCTATAGCTGGGGGTGCAAGCCCAGTTGCTAATCCCTTCAAATTCGATTCTAAGATTTCTGATTTTCTGATGTCACTCTGGTTTGGTCGTAGATACTCTGCCTGGATTTTCCCCATGGGATGACGAAGTTTTCCAAGGGGATACACTGTATACACCAACTAGATGGACACTATTCGTCAGACAACTAGTACAAGTACAACGGTGGGCCATTGTTTGGCCATTTTCAGGGGAACATTCTATAGAGCAACTAATTTTCTTTGGCAGTGTGTATAGGTTTGGCATTGTTTTGAGGGTCTCTTGAGCCCAGTGAAAGCTTAGCAGCGAGGCTTACTAAGCATGTAGTGTTGGGTTTAGGGTTACCTTTGAAGGGTTTTCCTTTTGAATTCCCATGGATTGTTGGCGTTTCTACCTCCGCAATGCCATAAATGATATCATAAGATTCCCAGGCCTATTCCCCCTATATTCCTCAAAAAAATCCCACCATAGTCCCACGAGATTTCTCCGATATTCTCTATATCCACATATATATTATATATACCCTCTGGTGAACTAACATAGCAATGGAAAATGGCCATTTATAGTGGATTTTCCCATTAAGAATGGTGATTTTCCATTGCTATGTTAGTTCACCAGAGGGTAATCATCATGGAGTAGATAGAATATGGACATTTCAAAAGTCATCACCAACATGGGAATATATGTTGAACATTCCATATTCTATCTACTCCAGGATGATTGTATGGTTTCATAGATTCCATAATTATGTTCCCTTCCAGCGGCAGAGGTACCAAGCCATTTCAGGCGGCATCGATTGGTACAACGCTGTGGTGGTCTTGTATCCTGTAGGGGGATTGGACGCTGGACACTCTGAGGGGCTCGTGGCTAGAATATCCTCTATAAATGGAGGTTTCAATGGGAACATATGGCCATTTTGGCTCAAGTGGTTCAAGACCAGAGATTGCTTGGCAAATTTGTGTGTTGCGATGGCAAGAAACATCAATGTGGAACTGCTCAGTGGCAAAGTTTACACCCTGGCAGTGCGGCCTGACGATTGAAGAGTTGAAAGAAGAAGTAAAGGCTTTCAATCCATCAGAGGATGAGATCACCCGGATACTTAGCACCGTGGAGTTTGTCCTTCACGGGGAGAAGCTGAATGATCTTCAGATGACCGTCTCAGATTCTATCCTCGACTCTGCCAACGTGCAGGTTATCTTCTATGTCAAGCCGGCAAATGAGTGTGTCAACAAATTTGGCCACAGGGTGACGGAATTGCGTGACGTACGCATCCCTAGCACTGAAACATCCATCCAAGAAGATGCTTTCGAAGGATGCGCTTGCTTGTTGCGACTGGTTATCCCGGAGTCTGTGACTTGGATTGGAGATCATGCTGGCTGCAGCTCTTTTGACCATCCCGGAGTTTGTGACTCAGATTGGAGATGGTGCATTTCGTGCATGCTCCTCGTTGACGAGTTTGACCATCCCGAAGTCTGTGACTCAGATTAGATACAAAGCTTTTTCTGGCTGCAGCTCTTTGACGAGTTTGACCATACCGGAGTCTGTGACTCAGATTGGAGATGGTGCTTTTCGTTACTGCACCTCGTTGACTAGTTTGACCATCCCGAAGTCTGTGACTCAAATTGGAGATCATGCTTTCACTGGCTGCAGCTCTTTGAAGAGTTTGACCATCCCAGATTCTGTGACTCAGATTGGAATGTACTTTTTTTCGCTGCATCTCTTTGACGAATTTGACCATCCCAGAGTGACTCAGATTTTATACAAAGCTTTTTCTGGCTGCAGCTCTTTGACAAGTTTGGAAGACAAGCTGAAACAGGCAGAAGAGGGCCTCTTCTGTCTTTTTGAGCTTGTCTTCCAATGCACATGCCTGTCAAACAAGAGATTGAAAGTTTGAAAGCCCTCTAAAGAAAATATGGCACAGCAGCACAAACAACGTCCACTTCAAGTCTTTGCATTTTTTGCATGTAACTTTTCTCGGAAGCCGCCTCTGCTTTGGACCGCTCTTCCAAGTCAGTGTGCAGCGCTTTGCTTTCCTGAGCGAAAATAAGAGCTGCAGAATCATATAGGTTGTACGGCGCTGCTTTTGCCCTGGCAGGTACATGGCCTGTGTTCCTTTTTTTTCTGCCACTGTGTCCCATAGTGTTTTTTTCAGTCGCCAGATGAATGTGTTTGGCTGACATGCTGACTGTTGGAACATCATCTATAAATGATGGATTTTCCATCGCCAGGTTTAAGTTACTGGAGGGTAACCAGCGTAAAATTCAGAATTCTCCACCAAACTGCATAAAATATGATTAAACATGGAATTTTGAGGATAAAGCAACGGACATGGTGATTTGTCTTGTTGGGGATATGATGGGATACGTATCGGATACGTATCGCAATATGAGGGATGTCCAAGCACATGGTATGATAACTCCAGCTATTGCCGTTTGGTGACTGGTCATGTCACGAGGGCTTCTCTTCAACTGCTCAGCAGGTTGAGGGTTTGGCCCCCAAGTGAAGCTTCTTGGTTTCAGCCCATGAAAACAAGTTTAGTATATCTACCATAAACCATAGGATTCATCTAGTTATTTCCACCAACTAATCTGCTAAACCCCTGTTGATGATTGTAGGGCCTTATAGGCTCATAGTATCCAGTGTGTTTGGGGCCTATCACAATCCATGAACTCACAAACATCCAGGGACAACATTTCGGGCGTTGAACACAACGCTCACCTGTTGTAGATATTTGGAGACCTGGGAAACAAGTCGGCAGTGCCCAGACAGTCCTCTCATCCGTATATGAAATACCAAAATGGTTCCAACTATGTAGGGTTTTTCTTGAAATGGGGGTACTTCCCCAGTGATCATCCATTTTGGTTGGATTTTACCGCAAATAAAAAGCATCCAGCTATTGGGTTATTTTCATGACTTAGGAACCCCCCATGTGCTCGAGCAAGTCGTGAGGGATGATTTCTGCTGTGGATTTTGGGGGCTTCAGAACTGATGAACTGCGAACCCACGGGAAACCCCTTTTCAACATAAGAGTATATAGCAACCTCAAAAAAATGATTCTCCTAGGCAAAAAAAAATCGTGATAAATCACTTGTATATCTTTTTGGCGGTTTCCCTTTCAAATCCACAGGTCCACATCCATCACCTCAAATAACCAATACAGAAGGGCATGGCCCGGCATGGAATCGGCTGAGGATCGAATATATCTTCTCTGCCTATGTCTTCTTCACGGCTTCTTGGCGCATGGAAATGAGACTTTGGAAGCGAAGCCCAGGGGCCCTAGTTAGACAAGGCAGATGTATATATGGGGGTGGTGCACAACTGCTATACATCTGCATTATGTATCAATGTATATATATATATATATATATATTGGTGATATATGTAGATCTAGATGGGGATGAACATCCACTTACCAGTTATCTTGATGTTCACCAGGGTCTTCATCGGGCTTTGACCGTCCATGCCCCGGTAATGGCAATGGTCGGAATGTTCGTCATGGTGGTGTGTAAGAAGATGAGTTCATACCTGTGATTACCCTCTGGTAAACTAACATGACTATGGAAAATCACCATTTTTACGAGGTAAATCAACCATTTCTATGGCCATGTTCCATATTTTTTTCTATGTTTACCAGAGGGTAGATTGTACCCAAAATGTAGCTGGCTCAAGATTTGACCGAAGTGTGTCTTTTTGTCAGCTATATACTATGCTTCAGCTGACTGTAGCTCTGACCAGCGGTCGCAGTGAAAGCCTTACGATTCCTGAGTCCTCCAAAGTAGGGGACTTGAAGCTGATGGCACAGAAATCTTTTGGACAACCCTTCTTGAGGCTTGCGACTGCAGAAGGGCGTGTGCTGACTGATCCTCTAGAACTTCTGCAGAATACGCTTGAAGATGGTGATCAGCTAACAGCTATAGTGGGACAAGGACAGTTGTTGGCAACTGCCACCGGCTTTGCTTTGTGGTGCCCTGGGGGTGATAGAGTTGTACACTGGGGCGAGCCAGATTCGGGTGTATCTTATCTGAGTGTGCAAGAGCTTCATGCCACAAATTTTGCATTTGCTGCGATCCTGGGGGACAACTCTGTTGTGACATGGGGAGCCAGAGGATATGGTGGTAACAGCTCCGGGATGCAAGATCAGCTGAAGAATCTGCGGCAGATTAAGGGCTCAGCTGGTGCATTTGCTGCCATTCTGAACGATGGCTCCCTGGTTACATGGGGCGGTCAGCCTCTTGGTGCAGACAGCTCTGAAGTGAGACATCAGCTGAAGAATGTGAGAGAAGTGCAGGCCACGGAAAGTGCATTTGCTGCGATCCTGGAAGAGGGCAGTGTTGTTACATGGGGCAATCCTAATCTTGGTGGTGACAGCTCTGCGGTCCAAGATCAACTGAGGAATGTGCAGCAGGTTTGTGCCACAACTGGCGCATTTGCCGCGATAATTGAAGATGGCTCCATTGTGACATGGGGCCATCCGCACTTTGGTGGTGACAGCTCTTCAATGCAAGAGCAGCTTAGAAATGTGCAGCAGCTTCAAACCACGCGGGTTGCATTTGCTGCCATTCTAAACGATGGCTCCGTTGTGACATGGGGCGGCAAAAACATTCCTCCACCCAGCAGTGAAGTGCAACATCAGCTGAGGATGGTGCAGCAGGTTCAGGGCACAAATGCTGCATTTGCTGCGATCCTGGAGGATGGCTGTGTTGTTTCGTGGGGCAAACCACGTCATGGTGGTGACAGCTCCGCAGTCCAGGATCAGCTAAGAGGTGTACAGCAGGTGCGGGCAACAGAAGGTGCGTTTGCTGCACTGCTCTCAGATGGCTCCATCGTGACATGGGGCGATCCACAGCTAGGCGGAGACAGCTCTTCAGTGCAAGATCAGCTGAGGAAAGTGGAGCAGATTCAGGCCACGGACGGTGCATTTGCTGCACTCCTATCAGACGGCTCCGTGGTCGCATGGGGCGATCCGAAAAGTGGAGGTGACAGCTCTGCGGTCCTTGATGAGCTTCGGTATGTCTAGCAGTTTGCTTGGCAGACGAATCGCACTTGATGTGAGTCCAAGGGAGAGTGTCATCACTGGCAGGTTTTTTTCCCTCTTAAAGAGGTTTTTCCTGCTGTTAGTCACGCTCAGCCAATGCCCGGCTGGCAGAGTTGTAAACGATTCCTTTGTGGAGTCCAAGGTTTTTAAGCCTGTTGAAAAAGATGTGTTGCATGCTGAACTGGAAAAACAACATGAAACACCTTGGATAGTATGCTAGGATAGGTACTTTGGCAATTTGGTACATTATCTGTGTGTGATAAATTTGGATATGTACCATGATCAACGATATTTAGCGCAGTGTATCTAATCATTCTTATAATTGTTATCATCTCCAAGATTGGCATAGTGAGCCCAAGCTACGGAGAGACACTCCCAATCTTAGGATGGTTTCACGATGTCAGATGAGGGTTTACCCTAAACTGGTGGTGTCTTTCAGCCATTGGATTCACATAAATAGATATGGGGATGGGTCAAAACCCTGGTAAGTGAACCCCAAGTCATAGCTGGGATTTATGGATGTTCATCCCACCAAAAATGTATCTATAGGTATTGACCCATACCCATATGAATAACATTAAAAAAAAAACGATGGTTTGAGGAAAATGAGCTGTTTTTGTCATCCGGAGTGCCCAAGCTGCCCCAGGTCTTTTGCTGCCTGAATATCGTGACAGGAATCTTCGTGGGGATTCCAAACACTGTGGGGTGTTGGTGCTTTTAGGGATGGCTGTGGGCACCGAACAATTCGCAAGTTGAAGTTGTGAGGGGATTCAACAAACCATTCAATGTGGCCAAGAATATGTGGTACATAAACATACATAAACCCAAGGCCATGTGCGCCATCCCCAAGTCTTAAAACATCTCAAAACCATGGGATTTATGGCTGGGATTTCAAGGATCCCAAAAAATGGACGCTTTACGGCCTTGGATGTCCCACAAAAAACACAAGCTCAATCCTGGAATCATGTCACCAAAAGTCCATCACCAAAATATCGAATATGAATCAACAAGCAAAACAACCATATCCATATTGATATATTTTTTTCCCAGGTCTTTTTTTTCTTTTCTCCCCAGGTGTTCCCCAGGTTTTCCTCAACGTGTCTCTCGGTTTCTGCCAGGTGGACAATGCCAAGGCCTTGAAGGTGGCGGATGAAGAGGCCATGCACCACGAGGCCATGAAGGACGCCACGCCGTGACCGTGATTTTTGGGGCGGAATCGTTCGGGGCGGAGTCGGGTGAAGCGGGGGAGTCAGGTGAATATTATTATTATTATTATGATTATTATTATTATATACAGTATATATATATATATAAATGTGATGATATAAATTATATATATATATATGCAATCCATGCATTTATCAAGTTTTTAGTTATTTTATCGTGATTGGGTAGCATATGTGTATATATATATAGAGCTCTAATATAGTTATAGTATATTTCTAATTTTATCCAATGGCTAGATGGAAAATAGCCATGGAAGTTTGCTGGGAAAAGCATCAAGCTAATTTGGTTCAAATACAGTTCAAATCTTTGTAACCATGTCTTTTGAATAGTATATAACCCCCCAAAAAAAAAAACGAAAAGGTTCCATTTGATTACCCAGTATTCTAAGATTTGACTTTATGAACGGCATTTTTTTTCTGGGGATTGCTATAAGTTCTGATATTCAGTAGTTCTATCATAATTCTAATATCGTATTATCTAATCTTGTAACAATATAGCTAGATTATATATTTCTGGGTAAACTATCAGCCATGACCAAGCCCAGCTCGATGATGGGAGTGGTGGAAATATGTGGGAAATCACCCCGAGCCTTTCAGATGTTTTCTTTGGATTTCTTTGGGACATAGTATAAGTTCCCACTTATGTCCAGAACGGAGGATTATGTTAATTACCATCTGGTTATGACTAACATAGCCATGGAAAATGGCTATGTAGAAATAGATGGTTCACCTATTAAAAATTGTGGTTTTCCATGGCTATTTTAAATAACAAGATGGTATTTTGGCTCCACAAGTTTTTTCTTTCCCAAAGATGGTTTGAAATTCACCAAACCCCTGGCAGCCCTGGTAGACAATCCACCAGCCATTTGTTGAGTTCGAGGATGTCGCTAGCCATGTTGGATTTAGGGTATTTGATCATTTAGAATTTAGATTCTTTGACAATAGGTAAAATCATCATGTTTAATAGGTAAACCATCTATTTCTATGGGCCATTTTCCATAGCTTTTTGTATGTTTACCAGAGGGTAATTTTCACATGTTACTGTTGCAATCTATTCTGAAAGAAGTGATTGAAGAATCAAGGCAAAGTGTGCCACGCTTCGGCAACGTGAGGTTCGATCGGATTGATTTGGAGAAACATCTGCAGAAAAAACATGTTTTTTTTCTCTTTTACATGGTGTTACCATCAAATACAGGGGGTTTCCTGTAGGTCTTTCCTGCGAGAGGTGGTTTGGCCGCTTACAAAAACTGTGCAACGACCCAGTTTTTTCATCAACAATTCTAAGTGTTTTTTCAGTTAACCGTTGAATTCCACTTTGAATTCTTTGTTTGGTTTAACCTAAGGTAGGTCATGACTCACACTTTCAATATGGGGATCTCAGCAGGGAAATCCTTCGGTGGTGGCATAGATCCTGCAGGAGCGTCAGAAATGGATCACCGAAGTCGCTGTTCCTTGGCGATGAAAATGTTCACCCATAATGGCAAAGGATGATTAAAAATCCGAGGAACCCAATATTTATAAATTTATAAGCCAAATTTGTGGATATAATCCAATATTCATAACCCAAATTTGTGGGTTTAATGGTTAAATCAATGCAAATTCTTTAGAGCTGAACCATGGGTTGAAGTCGAGGGGATTTATTCGAAACGTATTAGAGTGGGGAAAGGGGATCACTGAAACATCAACCATCACAGTCTTTGGAACCAATGATAGCCATAGATATAGCATGCCATAGGCATCAAACTATTTGGGTGAAATAGAATTAGATGAATTAGTAATGTTGCAAAACCCAGCAATAAAGTTTGAACATGCCAAAAACGGCAATGTTTTGTCGACATCAATTTATACATGGTTCAAAAATCAGGGATGATTAAATACACAAACGGGATGATTCAACACACCAACAGTAAACCAATATTTAATGGTTTAAAATTATATTAATTATTGTGTTTGATATTTGAAACACACCAATGATCTGTTCATATCGTTATTGTCATTGCTTTAATATGTTTTAATATTGCTGGAAAACACAACAGTGTTTCACCCCAGCAACCGGTTGTGCCGCAGTGCTTACCGGTGTGTGTTTTCAAGGAACTCTTTTCGAAGATCTCCGTTGAGAAGGATGCAAAACTCACCAAGGACGACTTCATCTACCATGCAGCTCGCTAAAGATGGCTAAACCTCCTGTGGCGTTTTGGGCTTCACAAGAAATGGTGGGTGAAACATGGTGAAACCAGAATTGGGACACTTACCAACCCTTGAAAATGGGTGAAGCATTGTGGTTTAACTTAATTGTTTCACCAAGAATATGAAGAATTGGTGGTTGGAACATGGCTTTTATTTTCCCCAATGGTTGGGATGATGATCCAATCTGACGAACTCATATTTTTCAGAGGGGTAGCTATACTACCAACCAGTGTGTTATGTCTGAAGATGTTGTTTGTTCCCCCAAAAGAAAAGGCGACTGGTTGAGTGGGAATCCCGCCCATTGTACTGTTCCAAAGAGGGTGACAAAAAGACAACGACTCACAATCACAAGGGATACGAACCACAAGAGTTTACGATGCACAGTCAAGTACTTCATCATCCAGAACTGGTTGGTGGTTTGGAACATTTTTTTGTTTTTCCATCATATATATGGGAATGTCATCATCCCAACTGACGAACTCATATTTTTCAGAGGGGTTGGTTGAAACCACCAACCAGATAAGCTTTGTCAGATGAGCTGATGAATCATTTGTGGCACTAACCATAAGGGATGATCAAGTGCTATGTTTGACCAGAGGATCCCATGAAATCTAAGTATAAATTCCATTATATCAGTTTTGATGGCTAAGTTCTCATGATATACCTTAATTAGATCCTAATTGTACCATTTTGATTCCAATATGTTGGATGAAATCACTATAACTCGGCATTTTCTTGGGAACCAGGTCTGGGGAATTCAAGATGATCAACTTAAGGATTTTAATTGACACCAATATACTTTCAATTGATTGTCCTTTTAAACTTCAAAAAAAATATATTGATAAGAAAGGCGTTAATTTGAAATCAATCTATGTTCAATTGCTTTTCCTTTTAAACCTCAAAGAAATCTATTGAAAACAAAGGTTTTCAATTGAAATCAATTTGCTTTCAATTCATTTGAATCTACGTTCAACTGATTTTCCTTTTAAACCTCAAAGAAATCTATTGTTAAGAAAGGATTTCAATTGACACCAATTTGCTTTCAATTCATTTGAATCTACGTTCAATTGATTGTCCTTTTAAATCCCCCCCAAAAGGCCCCAAAAGTTTTTGTGCACAATAGGCTACCATCCAAACAATTACATTATTTAGGGGAGTGGGTCACTCGTGGGGTACCCCTTAAAAAAAATGTTTGGGTGCTTAACATGGATATGGCTTTTCAAAGTAAATGGACCAGCTTTACCCAAAGAAAAGTGGATAAAAGGTTTTGTGTGCTTTTTTTCACCCCAAAAGCTTTTGTGCACAATAGGGTACCATCGAAACAATTACATTATTGAGGATCTGGGTCACTCATGGGGTACCCCTTGAAAAATTGTTTGGGTGCTGTTTTTAAATAAGGGTTTAATAAGGCATCTAATTATTTTGGGAAACTTGCATTTCAAGGCTTTAACATGGATATGGCTTTCCAAAGTAAATGGACCAGCTTTCCCCAAAGAAAGGTGGATAAAAGGTTTTGTGTGCTTTTTTTCACCCCAAAAGTTTTTGTGCACAATAGGGTGCCATCGAAACAATTACATTATTGAGGATCTGGGTCACTCATGGGGTACCCCCTTGAAATAAGGGTTTAATAAGGCATCTAATTATTTGGGAAACTTTGAATTTTCAAGGCTTTAACATGGATATGGCTTTCTAAAGTAAATGGACCAGCTTTACCCAAAGAAAGGTGTATAAAGGTGGGTAAAGCTCCTCCTGAAAAAGCATGGATCTGAGAAGAAACTTCTCACAATAGAGGCCCACCCCCCCTTTACAGGATACTCAAGAATTGTGAAAAAAATCTCACAACAGAGGTCCATGACACTGATCGGTATATTGCATTTATATATTATAGTAAACTCACGGGATATTTTCCCATTCAATTCCATATTCCATATTCCATAGGATCCATGGTGCTGGTATATATGCTAACATGACTGGGGTATATTGATGGGATCCATGTTACCATATATAGCAGCACCATGGATCCTATGGGTACGGTTTCAACCATCCTTTTTTAATGTGATGGATAAAAAAGTAATCCTATAAATCCTATAAATAATGGGATGTTTAACCACCTATCTACCTATCTACTCACTATTATATTCCATATGATACCATGGCATGGCTCCCGGACGAATCTCCCATGAAATGGTCACCTGTCACCGGAGGTGACCAACTCGGATCGTATCAATACGTGCTTCTATCATTTGGGCATCAACACAGAGCCTTGGAAAACTAAAAAAACAGAGAGATCACTATAGAAATGATTTATTAGATGTTATTTGTTATGTATTGTTATCAATGGTTATTATTAATTTATTAGTTAACATTGATATACATTGATAATTACTGGTTATTGATCGTTACAAAAACACTGAAAAGATCACTAGATTAGACTAGATTGGACAATCTGCGGGGGATAATTTGGATTGTGATAGTCTGGAAATCTTTGGGCGCATCCCCAATTGGTACTATAAAAGAAATATTGGTTATTACTAATACCCTAGGGTAAACTAACATAGATGTGGAAAACCCCATGCTAAAACGCATGGAACATGATCTACAAAGGGTGGGTTTTGCGCATCGAACTGTTAGTTTAGAGTAGGGCATTTGTTTTTATTAATGGTTATCATTAATGTCAACCCTGGATTAATAAACCCCTAGGCTGTTTAATTGGGAGGGTACCATTTAAGTATTAGATTACTATTTGGGGAGTACCCCCCTAATTAATAAACCAGGGTTTATTAATCCGGGGTTGACAGTAATAGTTATTACATGTTATTACATGTTATTACTTGTTAATAATGATTGATAACTTATGATGATCAATGGTGATTGATTGTTATTGGGATACACCCTGATTATTTCATAGCTTGCGATGGACAGTTCCATATGTAGTTTGATCATTTATGATGAATTACCTGTAAACAAATGGTGATTAAACCGCTTTGCATATTTTTTGTTTCGAGGGACAATCCGATGGCTAGTTTTATTTCTGGAAACATCATTTTTTGGGGGGGTTGACTAACTCTTGTGTTTAACCATGTTTAAGCCTTATCATGGGTTTAACACTATTATTACATGGTGGCATGCCACCTTAATCAAGAAGATTTCATATGGGGAATTTGACCAACAATTCATTTACAAGTATGACTGAACCAAGCAGAAACTTGGTCTAATGGGGATATATAGACCAAGAATTTCATTGCCGGTTGCCCGATGATTAATTGATTTGAGTGGACTATTACTCTCTGGTAAACTGCCTCATAACTATGGAAAATCACCATTTTCAAAGGAAAAATCCACTATTTCTATGGCCATGTTCAATAGTTTTTTGTATGTTTACCAGAGGGTAACTACCGTTGACTGGGGAAAGAGATGGGTGCTTTAGTATCCCAAAGAACCTTTCTCGAAGGCTTGAAAGTGGTGATGGAGATACTTTGTGGCACTTTGTGGGTTTCACGAACATCAAGCAATAGAAATGGGGATTTTGGGTGGATATGATGAGAACTCTTAACACATGTCAATTTTGAAAAAAACATATATACATATACATATATACTGTATATATATATTATACATTTATATATATATACACATTATATATATATATTATACGTGTGTATATATATATATATATATATACGTATATTATACTTATATATATATCATCTTCCGTGCAGTTCCAAGAAATTGTGTGTGGGTGGGTCCATGTTAGTTTTTTGGGTTGTCCACAACCTGGTGTTAGCCACCTTGCCTTCCTTTTGTGTTTTGAATTCCGGTTGTCACTTGAATTTGTTTGTTGATTGTTTGATATATGTGTCTGATTGAGAAATCCCTAGGATGAAAACAGCATTTGCGTTTCTTGAATTGACTCATACAATTATACATCTTAGTGTTTCAGATAAAGCTGATAAACCTGGTGTCAGCCCCGTAAGCCGCTTATGGTGTCCTCCATGGATGGTGATCCCTGGCTCCCAGGAAACCACCAACACCGATGAGTTGTGGGAACTCTTTGACATGGATGCGAACGGGGTCATTGATCAGGAGCCGCAGGATGACCATTGAATCATTGGGAGTCTTTGGTCTAAGGCGCCAAAATGACGATTTCAATGGATAAACGGATAAACCAAGAAAAATGGTGAAGCAACCAACATGCAAACCAGTATTGTTCAAGCAAAAACTGTTGGATTTACCAAGCAACATGCAATATGGTTCAACCCTAGGGGTGATTTAGATATATTTAGATAGTTTCAGATGGATTAAACCATATTAAACCACTAATTTGGATCATACAATTCCAACAATCCCTCCCTCCATACGCAGAATGCAGTTGGCGCAAAAGAAATTGGCGGCTCCCAAGTTCGGATATGGTTTATAGATGGTTAGTTTTTTTTATTATTAAAATACTTACTGGTGCTAAACGTAGGGAATGGATGGGTTGCTGGGGGTTGCTGGGATGATGACACTACTAGTGATTTAGTGGGATCATTCCCGAAAGGTTCCCTACGAAGCACCAGTAAGTATAGATTCTATTTTATAATCCCTTGTACAAGGGACATAATAGTGTATTATAATCCCTTGTACCAGAAGAACCAACATTATTGAACTATTATTACTAGCGATTATGGATCATACCCAGCTAGGGGGTACCGCCTTGTACAAGGCGGACCTGGAGATGTATATTGGAAAGGTCTTAGTCTTGCTTGATGATTCAGACTTTTTGGTGTCCAAACAATATGGAGATGTCCTAAGTCATGGGGGTACCCCAAAAAAATCATGGTTTATTTCATGGAAAATCCTACATTGAAATCGCTGATTTTGGGGTACCCCCATGACTTAGGAAACCTCCGTTGGGCGTCCCAATTACCGCAGAAATCCAAAAAGAAAGCAACGTGAGGAAATTAAAAAAAACCCGTCAATTAGATTTAGTATTGCAGGTTGCCTTTTTGTACCGGGTATAGTCGATTCACCGTAAAACGATAAGGAAGAAAAAAAACGATAACGCTAAGTATTATATACATATATATATATATACATGCATGTGTGTATACATATATATATATATGTGTATGTATACATATGTATGTATATGAATATATGTGTCAACATATGTTACCATCATGATTCTGGCACTATGTGCTCCTCCATCCTTTTTGAGAAGACCAAGTGTAAGTGTGTCCCACAAATGGGGAGAATTTACGTGACACAAAACGATAACAAAACGATAACAAAAACGATAACAAAATTAACCCGAAAGCCATCTTCAAACACCATGGCCCATTGATCACCTTGCCATGGAGGTTCTCCCCAAAGAGGGAAACCACATCCTCAATTGTGTTCTGCGGCCGCATGTGCATAAACCTCTTTGATTGTGATAAGTGCAGATAGCCTGCAAAACGATAAGGAAGAAAAAAAACGATAAGGTAAAAGCGGCATAAGCAAATTTATACGTTTTTTTTTTTTTTTTATAACCTCACGTTTTTGTGGCATAAAAAGCCATGGTGGAACAGAGATATGGCAAACCAATGGCTTCCCTAAAATCATGTGCAAATGGTGGGTGAAACCCACATCTATATGTTGGTTACAAGATATTCATCACTGGTTGGTGGTTTGGAATGTGTTGTTTTCCATATATTGGGAATTTCATCATCCCAACTGACGAAGTCATATTGGTCAGAGGGGTAGGTATACCAGCAACCAAAAAACATAGTTTACAAGATATTACTATAATATAATATAATATATATATATATATATTATATATATATATGATTATATATATGTATCCAGACACTACTATATATTACTATAATATACAAGATATTACCAGATATGTTAGTTTACAAGATATTACTATGTCAGTTAGGTGATTCATCACTTTTCATCCAGTACCATGCAGAATACGAAACTCCCGTGATTTAGGGCGGCGGTGTCTCTCAACGCCCATCCCTCGGGTCGATTTACAGCTCGGGCGTTGGGTCTCTTCAAAAGCCGCTGTAGGTTGATGATTACCCTCTGGTGAACTAACATAGCAATTGAAAATGGCCATTTATAGTGGATTTTCCCATTAAAAATTGTGATTTTCCATTGCTATGTTAGTTCACCAGAGGGTATAGGGGATTATAACAGGGATATAATCAACAGGGGATGATCAAGATATTGGGGATTATCACATATTATAACAATCCAAGAACGGGGAATCCCTATCAACCAACCAGGATTAAATGGAATGAATTATCAGGATCTTGAACACTGCCCAATTGATGTTGCGATGTCTAACGATTCTGTCAATACAAAATAACCTCACATATAAAACACCAGAATACCACCAAATGTCGCCCCAAATAATAGATTCATGACAGCAACTACTGTGTACGGCAATCCCCAAATAGAGAACAAAGACTTACCAAAAAAAACTGGAATAACAATATAGATTGAAAGTGATGTTTAAAAGTGTCAAAAAGACTATAAACCCATCTTACATATATTGTTGGATGTTATGTAATTATATCATATATATTCATATATCATATATGGTGGCTTTCACACTATCTATAGACTTTACATCATTGGTGGCGTCCTGGTGGCACAGAAGTTTCGGAGGACGAGTTTGCCATCGGCATCAAACAGTTCCATGGTTTTGCGAGAAGCATCGACCTCTTTAAGCTTCGCAAGGCCGGGTTCTGCTTCGGCTTTTAACCGTGGACTTCAACGGGTGATGTTTCGTGAATGGAATGGGGACGGAAGTTCTGGGAGAATGATTTTTGGTGAAAATGGCACATGTTCACCGAGAATCCACCATCGGGGAATCGGGAATATGAAGCAAATCCTTAAGGTACTATTCGAATCTATTCGATTGGTTCCCAAGTGTCAGGCTTCCGTCAATCAGGAGCGATGTTCAGTAATTTACATTCCATTCCATGGCCCATATGTAATTTCAGCAAACATTCCAGTCGGAAGAATCGTGAACATATACAAGATATTACAAGATATCAGAGGATATTTGAAAAGATTTGAAAAGGATGAGCCATGAATAGTGTGATTTCGACCTTTTCCGGCTGGTGTTTGATGGTTTTTTTCGTGCTGTTTCGCCGTTTTTTTGTTTCGCCGGCCCTTGAAACCGCTGTGGAAAAGTGGTCACTACAGGAGGTGAGGGAAATTCTGAAGCAAGTGAACAAGATGTTCCTGGTAGAGCCAGAGTGACGGGTCCGCAGCGGTGCCAAAGTGGAGAGAGATTTCAGTACGGAGTGGTTGGGGATGCTGGAGGATTTTTCTCGGAGCACTTTTGTGACTTACCAGAATTTTGGATGGTATGAACTCATTCCCATCTGGTTCTGGTTTGAAACATTAATATGTTTCAGAGGGGTTGAAACCACCAACCAGCCATAAGTCTTGCCAGTTTTGTGGGTAAACACCACATTGCCGTGTATTATCTTAATGTGTACTGTAGATTTTTTGGTAGTGAGAAACTTGGTTGACACCATCACGATCAGCAGACCCTGTCACGTGGCAACGACGACCAACGCAATTGTTGGATCGGTAGAACTGCAGCTGTCCCCGAATCGTATGACATGTATGGCTCAGCGGAGCTCTAAGACCATAGCAGGTCATAGGGAATGATGTTCCGATTGTATTACCATGGGTCTAGCCAGTAATAACATGTACCCTCTGATAGTTTAACATAGCTATGGAAAATCACCATTTTTTATAGGTAAACCATCTATAAATGGTCCATGTTCCATAGCTATGTTAAATTACCAGAGAGTAATAACCGCAACTGCACCTCCAAGATCATGAGGGGCTGATGTTCCTACAATCTTTAGATGGGACAGCCGCCAGCCGCACGGACTGGTGATGTGTGCAACTGGTGGAACCGCAGATTGACGGTCCATCGGTTTTCTTTAGGTTCCACATCTTCGGCAGCAGATCTCGAACTCAATTTTCTGAGATGTCAATTTTCTGAGATGAAACAACTATATTATATATATATAGGTGTTCCTTGTTTGCAGTTTTGACGGGTATGTTCCACTCTTATTGAACAGAGATTGAACAGAGAGATTGCACCGACAGTTGATGCGAATGTCCTTTGTGTTTTTTTAATTGTATAATCTGATGGTATCCATTTTTAAATATATTCTGGTTGGTGGTTTCAAACATTTTTTATTTTCCATAAAATATGGGATAATACTTCCCGTTAACTTTCATATTGTTCAGAGGGGTGGCTCAACCACCAAGCAGTAGCTGTGAATGACAAGATTGTGCACTGATGAAGCGAAAGCGATGATGCCCGGCCCAAAGTGATGCCTCTCTAGGTTGATGGCGACCAAGTCGCTCCATGGAAGACTGGGGCCGGTTAGATGCTACTGTTGGGGGAGGTCACCAAGCAGAACGGAAGTGGCCTCTAGGAAAGCAACATAGCTATGGACAATGGCCATTGATTTCGTTGATTTTCCTATGGAAAACTCGGGTGATTGTCCCGGACAGCTATTTTCACCAGAGGATAGTGTAACTTGTTGCCGGGGTATGAGATGAAAGAATATGAATATGACATATCATACTATATCATATCTATGACCACACATTGAGATCTATGCTGAGACATCGTACAGGCGTTGGTCATACCCAGTCATACCAATCGGATGGACAAAAAAAGGGGTTATAATGACCCGCAAAAGATAGAAAAGTAAAATCCAACTAAATTAATGGTGGCCTGACGTCGCCATTCTCTGGGTTCTGTTTCAGAGGAGAACTGGGGATGCTTGTGGCTCCATTTGTGGTGGAACGTCATAAAGATGCACAGGGAAACCCCGTGACATTGTGATGAAGTGGTTCTGATATTGACACAGTTTCTTGATGTGACATGTCCCGAGATACTCCAGATGCATTTCTGACATGCTATACCCTCCAGTAAACTCACATGGCTCTGGAAAATCACCATGTTTCATAGATATATAAACTATAAATGGCCATGTTCAATAGCTTGAATTACCAGAGGTTAAACTCATTTTTGTTGGGCCACCAAGAAGACTCAGCTGCACCCGGCCCCAAAAAGTCTTCGGACGGTCCAATGTTGTTGTGGCCGTTTGCCACAGACCAAAAAAATTAGGCGCCGTCGAAGTGCGAGCGACGAAAAAAGATCTGTGATTCAATGGATTGGTTTTGTTGGGAAAATCTTAACCGGAAACCATATTATATATCATATATTTTCCCATTTTTGGGGGGGGTTTTCCTGTAAAATTTCCCTTAAACCAATCCATTGAGTGATAGGTGTGATATTTGCCCATGGCCAACATTGGTCAACTCAGGGTTCATCAGAATATTGATATGAATTTGATATGTGCGGTAGCACGTCCAATCCTGATTGAACACGTATATATACCCTCTGGTAAACTAACATAGCTATTGAAAATGGCCATTTATAGTGGATTTACCTATTAAAAATGGTGATTTTCAATAGCTATGTTTACCAGAGGGTATAATCTGTAATTACATGTTGGGAAAGAGCAAACCAGTGAATGCTGTGGGTCATTGTTTTTTAGCGGAAATCAAATTTATGGGAAACCATTCACTCATTCCATTCCATGGATGGGTTTTTCAAAGGCCAACTGTTTGGTTGATTCATAAAGGGTACCATCGCATCTTTCGCAAGCAAGAGGGATTTATCCTAGTGACACTGATGATGTTGACCCATTGCCTCAGCTGCTGGAAAAAAGTCGACAAGGACTTAGATTGAAGAGATGCAGATAAGATATGTTTGTTTCTTGGATGTTCTCTCTACAATTCTCGCGCAAAGATCACTGAAGAGGCATTTAGAAGTCTGTAGAAAGATGTCTAGAATTGCAACAGACCGAGCAGCTCTCCTAGTCAACCATCGCACTTGTCAGGACATTTTAGTGGAAAATACAGAGATTTCCCACAGGTCTACCTGATGCTTTGAAATGCTACGAAAACAGAAGGCAGAAATCAGAATTTATCAGTTCAGTAAGCAGAAGCTTCACCCAAAAAATGCCCAAGAAACGGCGTAGACGACGAGCTGTTGAAGTTGACCCCGGCTGCTGGCAATGACCAGTACGGCCTATTTGGCGCAGCTGGGAATTCCCTTCGGAGGTGTGGGGGGACGGCAGCCAGGGGGTGCCGCACGGGATGTTTTGGGGTGAGCTGTATGCCCAGTTTTACATAGCAATGTTTGAATGTAAACAGTAAGTGGTTTAAAGTCGATTTAGAATGATCTGCAAATAGACGGATCATTATGTACGGTAAAATACAATATTCATAGATAAGAAATGGGTAAAATTATGGGATGCACATGGATCTCTCTGATAACTTCATATGGAAAATGACCTTTTAGACGATTTGCCTACTCAAGAAGTAATTTTCCATACTTCTCTGACAGAGTCCAAGAGGGCCCCCCCATTTCGATGATGTTCAATGATGTTCTTACGAAAAGCTTCATTTCCAAGCGTATTTCATTTAGTATTTCTTATGACTTCAAGAATGGTTTCTACCAGATGGACGTAAAACCCCTAATTATGTGTCATTATCATGTGTGTAATCTAAAGTGGATGTAATTCTATGCAATCATGAGAACAGCTACAAGATGGATCACCAAAAAACTGGGTCCTCTTAGGAGTCCGGTGATCTCTTTCCCATCCCTTGGCGATCTCCGAAATTCCCAGGCCCCCCGGTGATCTTGAAGGACCCAGCCGAGGAGTTTCAGGCGGGGCTCTCCAGAAAACAATCTTATCTATTTGGAAACCTGCTGTAACACCTGAAAACCTGGTTGGTGATTTGGAACATGAATTTTATGACTTTCCATATATTGGGAACAATCATCCCAACTGACGAACTCATATTTTTCAGAGGGGTGGCTCAACCACCAACCAGGATTTGATGAAGCTGGTGGGCTTAAAGAACGTTTCGAAGATGTCTGAAAGATGTCTACTTTCCATCTATAAAGATCCGTACACATCCAGGTTGGTGGCTTGATATGTTGTTTACCCTCTGGTAATTTAACATAACTATGGAAAATCACCATTTATAGTGAATTTTCCCATGAAACATGGTGATTTTCCGTCTAGTTATGTTAGTTTACCAGGCCGGGTATTAATGTTCTGTCCTCCATTGATGCCACCACAGCGCCTGGACCAAGCCGCACCTGCGGACAGTGACAGTGATTTGTTGGGCGCTCCAACAAGGATTATGGTAAAATTACCCTCTGGTAAATAAACATAGACCCTGAAAATCACCAATGTTTAATGGAAACTAATCTTCGTCCTATTTGCCAGGGTCTATGTTAATTTACCAGAGGGTATATCCACATCATCAAGACAGAGAACTTGGATGAATTTGGTCATTTTCTTGTTCATATCAGTATATATCAGTCATGTCCTGGTTGGTGGTTTGGAACATTTTTTATTTTTCTATATATTGGGAATAATCATCCCAACTGACTAATATTTTTCAGAGGGGTTGAAACCACCAACCAGTGTCATATCACCCAAATTCTGTGGAGATCATTTCCCCTCGTATCTTCTCGTCCTATCGGTCAAACTGCCCAGGCATCGCCGCCGGCCAAGGCGGCATCGGCAGCCACATCTTCCAAGGCGCTGCGGTTGATGGAGGATCCAAATGAACTATAGTCAACCCCCAAAAAAGATAGAAAAGGAGAAGATAATTCACCTTTCGGCATTTGTTTGGGACTGATATATATATATATATAATATACATAATATATATATATATCATGTATTATATTATATATATATATATATTATTATATGCATGTGGGGATGAACATCCAGAACTACCAGCTGTTTCAAGAGTTATAGTGTGGCTTATATACTCCATGTATTTCCATTATATCCCTGCAAAATGGTTGCTGTTTCCTGGCATTTTCGCAGCCAACTGATTTCCAGAATGAAGCTTTGTCTGAAAAATATAGCACCCCCAACCATCATTTGCTGACTTGATGATTGGAAAGTGGTTATGTTTTCCCTATAAAGATGCTATATTTTCCCTCCAACCATATAACAGATTTCTTTTCAGATGCAGGAAAGTCCAAGCTCCTCCCCCTGACGGGCTCATCGCAAGACTTGTGTCACAGCATGGAGCTTGTTAAAGATCAAAGCTCGGCGGTGAAGCGTTCCACCTGGATACGTCTCAACATTTTCCTGGAGTTGCTGAAAGCTGTGGATTTTTGACCATCTGGTTATGACTAACAGTTCGCCATGGAAAGATCCACCATGCTATTAATAGGTAAACCATGTATTTCTATGGGCCATCTATACCATGGCTATGTTAGTCATAACCAGAGGGTACCTCCAATTTATGGCCCTCTGGAATCTCTGGATTTTTGACCTCCTATGGCCATCACTGGGCAAGACGATGACGGAACTTGTTGCGATGACGAAAGCTTCTCGAAGCGTCTGACCGGGCAGCACTTCAGGTGGGAGAGCTGGTGCGAAAGTTGTTATATTGCGAGCATACCCCATTTTCAGGCTAGGCCATATCAATGCAACTGGATTTAACTGATTAGTTGATTTGACGATGATTCAGGGATACAAGTGATGGTAGTTGGTGATTGCACAGCTGGAAATGGTATCTCAAATGCCAATAATATTGCGAAACGATGTTTAATGAAAACTAGACTATCATGGTGTTGTACTTTGCTAGCTAGTTTCATGGATTTTAACGGGATTATGGACTACTGATATGGGAACGCCGCTTGCTACCAGCAGCTGGGATGATGTTTAGAAGTTGAGATCTGACGTTTCGGCATAGTGTATAGCCACCCTGGTTTGGAGATGGCAGAACCCCGAAAGGACTGGAAACACTTCCAAGTTATTTGGTTTCAAAAGCGACTTCAGGGCGTGATCAATATCCGACTGGTTTTTTTGTTTTTGCACCAGCTGGAGCAAGCTGGAGCAGTTCCCTCAGAGGGCCAGATTTGACTTGGCAGGCGCCGACCGAGGCCAAATCTGAGAAGGCGCGAAGTGATGGAGATTTATAGGGGAAATGACCCACGTACTCTTGGGATTTCAGTAGAACTGAGAACAAGTATACCAGGGAGATTGTTTATATTATTATATATATATGGGGTTTAGCTCCACAATCCATTGTCTCCGGGGATATTAAACCATATTATATACACGACTCACTACAAGTAGGGAAAGGCGAGGATACAAATATACAGAACAAGGCTGGGGTCTCACCAACGACAAGATGAAAACCAGATGTCTCAACGAGGATGGCTGGTGGTGTTTTCCGTCGAACAAACCTCAAGACGGTGCGGGTCATCATGGCTGGTGGTTTTCCCAGCAATTCAACATGGAACACATGGAGAAATAAACAAAATGGCTTCCAGTTGGATGATTTTACTGCTGGAGATGTCCTTGGTAGCGGAACAGAAATAATAGAAATCGGTGCTCTCAATTTTCCAATGGCAGCCTGGCTATATTTGATGTTTGTTCGGACAGAACTGGGTTCCAATGATCTCTTGAACCAACCCAATGATAGATCAACTTCAGGCGAATTTTCACCAACAACCAGGATTTTCCCATAGGCTTTCCATCACTGGGATGGGTACCCCCAGTTATCATCTGGTAAACTAACATAGCTATTGAAAATTGCCATTTATAGTGGATTTTCCCATTAAAAATGGTGATTTTCCATCGTTATGTTAGTTTACCAGAGGGTAGTTAATGTTCATTGATTAGAAAATTGATTCTCATGATGAAAAAATCCAGCGATAAATGGGTATTCCCATTTATAAACAAACAGCTTGCTATTGAACATGGCCCAATCGAAATAGTGGATTTACCCAGCTATATAGCATGGTGGATCTTTCCAGTTCGTTATGGGAGAGTTTACCAGGCCTGGGATTTCCCATTGATGGAAACCTCCAGGCTGATGGAGCCCCTGATGGTCGAAGCTTCTTGGAGAAGTGGTCGCTTGGTCCATGAGAAGTCCATGATCGGGGCCCTCTAAGGGGGCTACTTAAAATGTTAGAAATAACTTGCTTGAAATCACTATGATGAAAAACTGGGGTTTATAATGGTATATATAATTATATATATATATATATATCGGTTTATGGCAGTTACAACTTGCTGGAGGATGGGTGAATAAACAAAATAAACCATAATAAACCAACTTATTCGTCATATTTTAGTAATTAGTTATAACGTATAACATCTTATAATAAACTAGTAGTTAGATTGGTTTATTAACCAACAAACATAACTGCGGGTGCCCCTTCTTGTAGATAATTTGCATCACATTCCATGATGTTTCGAAGCAAGGATCGAAGCAGATCTGGCGAAGGGTGGAAGATGCGAGAAGCTCAAGGAGAAGGCCCATTTATGGGCCATTTATAGTGGATTTTCCCATTAAAAATGGTGATTTTCCATAGCTATGTTAGTTTACCAGAGGGTATGGAAAACTATATGGCCATATGGGATCCGCGTAGGGTTTTATGTACTTGCAGATGTTCGTCATGAAAACGATGGAAAACTATATGGCCATAACCCATAGGATCCATGGTGCTGCTATATATGGTAACATTTACCATCAATATACCCCAAATGTTAGCATATATACCATACATGGATCCTATGGGTATGGAAAACTATATGGCCATAATTCAATAGTTTTTACCTATATTAAATATGGTGTCCCAAATACCTTTGACTTCGAGTAAATCATTCAGATCCATTTGCCAAACATGTCCAGAAATACCAGGAGAAACACATGAGAACAAACTGAGAGATTCACTGAGAGATTCTAGTTCCAGAGGTTCCATTTTTTTTTCAGGCTATGGTGGATGATATGCATGATCGTAGCTGATTCAAACATCAAATCTGAATCACCCACTACATACACCAGTTCTATCCATTTCCTCGGCGCGGGAAATGAGTCTACTGTATAAAGCTGGCCACTGTTTGCCAGCGAGTATTTGCAAAGATTCACAAGAACTTTAGCTATGATGCCTGTATTTGGCAGTTAAGCCTTAAGCAAGCTTATTGGAGGTTGGATGTAGTTGGCAACATGAACACAGCGTAAGCCTCGATCTGGTTGGCTAAATTGGTCAGTGTTCAGCAATGTTCAGCAACTTCAGTATGTTTTTTAATGAAGACATCGTATAGCCAACCCAAATCAACTTCCCAAGGGGGATTAAGATTTGGAGTTGGTAATAAGATCTGTTATGAGTACATCCTTCATGGTTGGTTTGATTGCGATAAACCTTGATGAACATGTTGATTATATAGCCACCAGGTCACTTCCTGCAATCAAAACATGGGTTTGTCTGAAAATAGTTGTACCCCTAAATCCACAGGATTTATCATCATTTTCCCAATTAAAATAGCCATTTAAGGGATCATTTGGGGATACCCGGCCTGGTAAACTCTCCCATAACTAACTGGAAAGATCCACCATGCTATTAATTAATGGGTAAATCCATGTAAATCGCCATGGCTTCAATAGCTATTTTGACAAATTACCAGAGGGTATCTCCCATTCATATCCCATAGAAATAGATGGTTTACCCATTAAAAATGGCCATGGCTTCAATAGCTAACTGTGAAATTACCAGAGGGTACTGATTGGAGGCCATCAAGCCATCAAACACATCAAGCCATCAGTCACTCCTCCCATTTCCAAATGGATTGGAGGCCTTGATGTATGTGAAACGCCAGGTCTTGACCCGCTTTCCGCCGGAACCCAACGGCTGGGAATCTCAGCGTGGCACCGGCAGATGCACCTGGCAGCCTGGGAGATGTTTCAGGGTGGTTGGGATAGTTGGGATATGCATCAGGTAAGTCAACTAAATAGATGATGTTCCCATTCAAAACCTCCATTTATAGATGATTTTCCCATTTAAGTTCGATATAGATCATCTATACATTTCTGATTGGTGGTTTGGAACATGACTTTTATGACTTTCCATATAGAATGTCATCATCCCAACTGACGAACTCATGTTTTTCAGAGGGGTAGGTATACCACCAACCAGTAGTGATAATAGTGTGAAAACGTATTATAGTATAAATTGATAGTTATTAAGTTATGTATACGTGAAAATAGTGTCTTTGGGGTTTGTAAGTGGCCAATTCAGACTTAAATATGGTAAAAACATGTAAAAATCGATTGATAAACACAGCTAAAACACGTTCAAATTGGCTCACCAATGCTTATAATTGGCAGTTGGAAATGGTTTAACCTCAGTGCCTAGCCTCTTACTGGCTGGGATACAGGGCGCCATCCTACAGATCATGTTCTTCAGATGCGGTGTCGAATGGCCAGAACGAGGGTGTTGATTGCTTTTAAAGCAGCCCGTGATCCATGAGTTTTTTTAAAGTTTCTTTCCCAAAGTCAAAGGACTGAGATAGTTGTCCTTTTGTAGTCACAAATGGCATGATTGGTATGGAACTCAGCCCCATGTTTCACGGTAAAATCCTAAATTTGGCTTTGCCTGAGAATAGGGTATCCCCAAAATCCATTGCTTGTATTTGCTGGTCATAATTTTCCCTATATACAGTACAGTAAATGGCCATATACAACTATAGTCAAACTGAGTTTTGCCGTTGTACCCCATTTTTGAGACACACCCATACAGGCCCATACAAACAAACACTGGGATCTCCTTAAGCAGCTTAGCCTCGTATGGCGCCACGCGCCAAAAACGAGGCTATTTGCACATCGGTCATGCCAAATCCATCATGATCAACTTCGGCCTGGCCTACAAGCGCCCAAGGGCGGAAGCTGAAGCGGAAGAGAAGCTGGGGGATGCCATCGTGAAATATGTGAGAAATCCATGGAATATATCCTCTGGTAAACTAACATAGCTATTGAACATGACCATTTTTAATGGGAAAATCCACTATAAATGGCCATTTTCAATAGCTATGTTAAATTACCAGAAGGTATATCAATTATTTAAGCACGGAATATGTGGAAATTGTTTTACAAACTGGTGATTTTAAAGGACGGCAACCTGATATGTCAATGGTTGTCACTAGATCGATATAAGGAAAACCATGGGTAACCTGTTTTGAAAATGGTCTGCAACTTTTGGATGTTCCACATCTATGTAGAAAATTGCTGGAGGCTTTAGGGTTTCAATATGCTTTGATTCTCCAATCCTTGAAGCGGTGTTGGGCACTGACCAGTTTCAAACTGGGGCCACCATTAATTAAGCCTGCTTGATCCTGATTGCCATTTCAGAATGCGAAATGAGCCAATGTTTTTAATGACATACATACATATACATACCCTATGGTAGTTTAACGTAGAAATGGAAATTGGCCAATGTTTTTTCGTTTACTTTTTTTTACCTTTCAAAACGGATGATTGTCCACAGTTATGTTAAATTCCCAGCAGGTATTAACCAATACTGTAGTCCATGAATATCTCATGATTCATGAATATGCCATCACACATCACCATAAAATCCACTACATCTCGTGATCCGATTGAATCCTGCAATTTGCAGCGGCCACTGTAGCCATCATGAGACTATGATTTGTCCATCGTTGCTGAAAACTACAAAGTGTTCACTCAACATGTACTCTCTTGTAGCTTCTTACAGCTGGAATTTCTCATTTTTTATAGGAATACCATCGAACTAAGTGGGCCATACCATAGCAGATAGCAAACTGTTGAATTAGATTGAATGATCAGATGCCATGATCAGATGCCATGATAATCTCTGGTGTCTCCAGGGAACATTTGCAGTTCGGGTGTTGTTTTGCTAACAACTGTAGATCTAAGCACGTGGCCCCTGTTGCAGAGGTCAATGCCCCATGACTTGGGGAGTTCAAACATTACCCTGTGGTAAGTTGTTACGGTCTGCCATGGAACATAGGCCATTTATAGATGATTCAATATGATGTGCCTGTATTTCCTATTAGCTATACGTATATATATTATATGAACAAAAGTTCTGATTTTCCATAGTTATGTAACAAATTACCAGAAGGTACCCAGCAGTATATGGTTCTTGGTGTCGTGACTCCTTTTTTTGTACGCCAAGGTGATGTTTATTGAGCAGCCAATACTTCCCACTGGTTAATTTCATCATATTTCATCCAGAGGTAGCTCTTCAACGACAAGTCGTAGGCCAAAAAGATCCCTACCAAAGATTGAACCATTCTTTACAACTATATACATCTGGGTAAATTATAACGACCTCACTGCGACCTCACTGGATTCATGGTTAGTAAGGGAAATCATCCCCAAATGGCCTTAATTCAGGTTAGTGAAATATTTTAATTTACCCATATATATATATATACTGTATATATAGTTGAGTGACATTGTACTTTTCTCAGCCCGAAACGATGTGTGAAGCTGTCACCATCGACAATTGCTGCACCCAGGTACGGTGGCCAGTGCAATTTACGCTTTGATGACACCAATCCTGACACAGATTCTTAGAAGAAAGTTGTGGTTTGATTATTGGATTACAATAGATTACATACTATATATTTATGCATATTATATATATATATGTTATGTATACGATATATATATATATATCATATATATATATTATACATATATACATATGTATTTATAGAGTATAGTGAATGAGCAATGATACGTTAGATGAATCGGCCAGGGCCCGGAACATAAAGTCACCTGCAAACTTACATAATGTCCCCTGAAACATGGTCTGGAAGATGATGTTCTGCACGTGGAAGATACAGTAGTGCCTGCCATATGTGGGTTCCATGCGAGTGCTCAGTGGTTTTAATTTACCCTCTGGTAATTTAACGTAGCTACTGAAAATGACCATAGAAATAGTGGATTTTCCCATGAAACATGGTGATTTAAACCATAGTTATGTAAACGTTTACCAGGCCGGGTATACTCTTCAGCCCTTCGATCGTCTCACATCGAAGGATTTATACGTTGGATTCGCGTGGATTGTCCAGCCATCTTTGATGAAGCCAGAGTACACCCCTTTATCATGTGACACCATGAAGGAATAGATATTATACTTTAATAATATAGATATAGATATAGTTAGTATAGATATAGATATAGAATATACTATAATAGCTATATCTATACTAACTATATCTATATCTCAATATATGGGGATTGGTCAAAACCAATAGTACCCCTGTAATTAGTTCACATCAAAATAGCTGGGTTAAAATGGATGTGAATAACCCCCTAAAAATGGTATAGGTATTGATCCATACCCATATGTCGCGATATCAAGTCTCAAAGCCCAAGTCGTTCCTCGGAGTTTGATGTACAAAATTACTTGACACGTAGCCAAAATTCTTGCCCTGCTCAACCAAAAGAACTGCGGGATATTTGGCTGCGGCTATGGTTATAGCAATATCTGATTGGTGGTTTGGAACATGTTTTATTTTTCCATATATTGGGAATAGTCATCCCAACTGACGAACTCACATCATATTTTTTCAGAGGGGTAGGTATACCACCAACCAGATATGGTCTTAAATTTGGAAATGTGGTGAGCCTTGGTCGTGGAAAAATCAAAAATGCTGCTGCTGGATTTCCGAGAGCCTCCTCCTGTAAAGATGTGTAGAGGTTGCAGCTGTTTATTTGGGGGGTGCATGGTCTGGTTGTGTTTTCCCTTCAGGGCAACTGATAAGATTGAGATGATTGAAGGATGGTAGGTGTATACTCCTGTATGTTGTAACCTCAATGATAAACAGATGTGTGTCATTTCTTTTTACAATTACTCAGACCCTTGATAAGAATCCCCAAACTCATGGGTATATTATTATGGTATATAATATATATATATATAATTATATATATAACTATATATATATGTAACTATATATATATATTACTCATGTGTTCTATATTTTTCTAAGTGTTTGAGGGTCTATAGGGTACCCACCCAAATCACCTCCAATCAATCCCCCAATTGGATCCAATTGGGATGACTATCCCGCTGAAAAAAAGGAAGAGACTGAGTACGTGGAAGCCATTCAGGAAGACGTGGCCTGGGTTTGCCAGGCTCGGAATCATTTTAATAAAGTAATAGTAGTAGTAAGACTTGGTATTAGTAGTAGTATTATATGGTAAGTTCTATAATAGTAATAATAATCACAATGGTAATGATAATGATGATAATATGATCATCATTCGCATATGAATACATATGTTCATAATCTAAAATAGGTATACAGTCTGACTGCGATGTCTCACCCCAGCTACCCCAAACCATTCGATGGAGGCCTTGAACATGGAGAAGATGAAGAAGGGCGGCAAACCCTGGAAAGATGAGGTCCTCTATGCCAGCCACTGGGTTTTAAAAAAAGGCCCTGAAAAAATGGCCATGGTCACAGAGGTTCCCAAGACATGGGGTACAATGGGGTGCCATCTTGGTCAATGATCTAAGTCAGAGTCTAAGTGATTAGTCAGATCACGTTTCTGTGAAGTCGATCCTTGGTGTATCTATCAATCCCCGATGTTTTTTTTCATGGATGGATTTTTAATCGATTCAAGTACTACAATGCACCGGATAGATCTCTCTTCAGAATCCATGGACCTTTCACCATACATCATGACCACCCATGGCATCCTATGGCGCAGATGGGGAGGACCCAGCACTAGAACCCGAAACATGAAACCATGTTGGCAAAGTCAGGGATCAAAATTGAAGTCTCAACAGCCCTGGATCGGCTGCAGTGACATCCACTGATCAAGGGAGTACAGTGCGAGAACTCACCAAATAGAGCCCCTTGAGTTTTTTCAAAATATCAACAAGTGCTCCAGAAATCTCCAGTAGCCAAGGGTTCCAAGATGTTCCAAGATTCAATCGATAATGGCTTAGGTGATTATTTCCAGCAGATGTACGACTTTGCCATTGATCTCATCAAGCCTTCCCGGCATGCTTCTGGATGGAGATCTTGGACACCCAGAGGATGGTTTGGTGTGTCCATAGGGACGTGACTATCATATCCAGCTGGAAGGATTATCATATCCAAACACGTGAAAATTCATATCCTGATTATCATGTTTGGTGTGTCCAGCGTGTCCATATTAGAAGCTGGAACATGCTGGAACTATTTTATTATTTTGGTCTGGAGAACTTCTGGAGAACTTGCCCATGAACTTCCCATCCCACCGAGAGAATGAAGCTCTCGAAAGGGTTCCAGTGTTCGCCCAAGTGCAGGGGGACTATTCTGTAGTGCAGATTAGCAGAGATTCTCCATTGACAGGGGATTGTCCTATTGGTAGCAAGTGAAAACGGGGAAAAAAACCTGCCTTGCCAAAGCGGAAAAATGATGGTTTAGATGATGATTCACCGGTAGATTTCAAGGTGCCCTGGGTATTTTCAGACCAAACTCCTGTGGTTTTTTGCTTTTCGGCCGTGGAAACGCCGTTGACCCGGTCGGCTACCAGCATTTGCTGAATGACCTGTTGTATTCGGGTGAAATAGCCACCATTTTGATTAACGGACATTGATATGTGTGTCGGGTAACGGGTATCTAGCTAAGAATCAAACATCATGTCATATTAGATATGTTTATATAGATATATTATAGATATATTGATTATATATATATATACATATGTTGTTTCTAATTATATATATATGATATATATATATATCATATGTATAATATGTATGTATATATTCTCGGCTCGCCAGGCATGGCAAGGCTTACGTGGATTCGCAGACCCCCGAGGAGGCTTGTTTGTTTTGTTCCAAAAGCCATCAAAAAAATAGAGATGTTTAGGCCGTGTTTTAAGTGGTTTATGCTTAAATCTGAAGGTTCAACAATGTCTAAAACCTAGGTTTTGGAGCAACAGATACTGTCATATGGAATCAAGAACCCCTGGTATCCACAGGCGTTGGCAGAAGTCAACTTTTCCAGTGAGGTGCGCAAAGAACTACAAGCAATCACTTGCAAATGCAAAAAACACATAATTACAGAGCAAAAAGATAGCTGCACCACATCCTAGAAGAATGTGTGGACTTTGCATCTTGGAATAGAATATACAACATCAATAGATGATAGATGGTTAGTTTAACAATGGTGATGTATAACTTCTGTTGCTAAGTGCATTTGATATGAGATAGTGGTTTCTTCATGAACCTGCTTAACTGGCAACAACAAACACATGACAAAATGCACCAATAAACGGATGCAGAAACATTATGGATTAACAAACGTCGGCACCTATGGGCACGCAACGGAGGCATATATACGAACATCATAAGGGGGTTCCCTATAAATGGGGATCCCCCAAAATGAATGGTTTAAAATGGAAATTCATATTTTACCCTCTGGTTATTTAACATAGCCACGGAAAATCACCATTTTTTTCATAGGTAAACCATCTATTTCTATGGGCCATGGCTTCCATGGCTATGTTAAATAACCAGATGATAAAATGGTTGACAACTGGGGGTAGCCCCATTTCTGGACCCCTCCATGGTCAAAGATGACATGGTTTGCCTCGCTGCGGAGCGCAGTACGTCCAGCCACCGGCCCCGATTAAAAGATGGTTCGTGTCACCGATTGAGCCATTACCTTGGTTGATTGGTTATAGATTACCATGGAATTGTATTATGGAATTAATTATACTAAAAATTGACCATAATACCATGGCTTATATCAATTAATTTTTGATTCTATGGAATTGTACTACCATGGCTTATTTGAGATTATTTTAATGGCTCAATTCTGTCGGATAGACATGGATAGAATAGGTATAGTTACTAGCTGTGGAGCCGGTGATTGCTTCAAAGTTTGGTACCTCTGTAGCACCACTCAGCTGCACCTGTAAACCTTGCGCTTGAATGGTTTCCTAGCTTTATTACCATAAATGGTGAAAAAAATAGCCGACCAAAAACCAAAATATCTACCCTCTGGCAATCAAAGTAATCAAACATGGAAAATCCATATTTCATATAGATCAATAAATTCCCTATGAAATATGGAAACACCATCTGTAGAGGATCTTCAATATTCTTCAACTGCTACGTTTTTTTTCGGCGAAACGTTCCATCTTTTTTTTTCCGATAGAAATACCCAGATTCGCCATGGGTAAAATCACGGCTGATCTCAATGGATTGGTTTAAGGGAAAATCTTAACCGGAAACCATCGATTTTCCCATGAAATATGGGGCTTTCCTGTATATTTTCCCTTAAACCAATCCATTGATGATCTCATCAGGTGCAAAAGAACCGCGGAGGAGGTCCCAATAACCTGCCAGGGGTGTCTCGGCCCAGCGAAAGCGGCGGTGTGGCTTTCTGGGGGTGAGGTATGTTGAGGTCCCAAAAAAAAGGCTGAGTGGTTAAAGCCGTTGTGGATGCTATGTGATAAAAAACATATATAGAAAGTATATGAAAGTATATATATATTATATAGTAAATAGTAAATAGTCTTAGATAATATTGAGATCATATTACCGATTACATACCCTTGAAAAGAAAAACATAAACAAGAAAGTATCCCCATGTTCATCCATGTTCGCTCAGACACACACCTATGACCTATGATGTATTGTAAATCATGTAGCCAACAGATGTTGGTCATCTGACCGATAAAAACTAAGGTGAGACCCTGGATGGTTACCTTCTAACTGGGAACTGGCTTAGCAGCTAGATATGGGGCTGAGTCTCTTAAAAGACCGAGTGAATCACTGAATCTGTGCTGCGTGCATCCACATCATTCGTCAATATTCGTCAGGACCACTATAGAGTTATTTCGATGAATCCTCGAGTATAAATCATCAGTATCCATCTTCCAAAGGAGCAATCTTCAAACCGTGTGTCATTCTTCATGCCTGAGAATGGGATTCCCATGAGGCTCAATCCAGTCACAATGAGCCAGGTAGTACAACACTCTGCTGTTGGATGATCATCCAGCTATCACCACAGCTATCACCAATTCTGGTTGGTGCTTTGGAACATTTTTTTTTATGACTTTCCCATCATATTGGGAATGGAATAATCATCCCAACTGACGAACTCCATCATTTTTCAGAGGGGTGGCGAAAAACCACCAACCAGAATTGTTCTTAGCTACTTGTCACATGGTTGATATGTTGATTGTCTTTTAATTGTCCTGGTGTTTGAGCATTTTTTCGAACAAAGATGTTCCCCATAGAAAATTTCCATTTCGCTCCATTTACGAAATATGTGTTCATATTACAACCCAGTTGATTTCCCAATGTTAATTACCATTCATGTCACTCTATTTCTTCATTAATCCACATATTAAAACATATTAAAAGCCCATTTAGATCATATCATCCCAGAAATGGATTAAATCACTTTGTGGTTTTATGGATAAAACATACATGTTTTCCACAAACTGATGATTTGTCCCATAATATGGGTTTAAAACATATAATCCCATTATCCCAGAATTTTTCATCTTCAGTTTGTGGGTTGATCCCCCGCATCTTCCGTTTGAAGTTTCGGGTTTCGGTGGCAGGTGGACTCGAAGTTTCGGAACCGCAGTGTGGAGGAGAACTTGAAGCTCTTCCAGGACGATGGGTGATGTTGACCCTTAGAGGGACCCAATTTATATGTAGAAAACAACGAAAATTGTGTGCGTCTTACCTCGCAAGTTTGGTAGTTGTACCATGTTTTAAGATGTTTATGGGTACGAAGATCTAGGTATGTGAATGATAGGAATATATAATTGAAACATAAACCCATATTTTTTTGACAAGATTCCAAGTACCTCTTGAAGTACCCTCTTTGAAGTATCCTCCTGCAAACAAACATGGTACGAGAATAATCATAGGTACGATCATATTAGGGTATAATAATCATAAGATACAATTAAAATAACTTTAAACAATGAATAGAAACATGAATGATTATGAAATTATTACATATCTTTGAGATTCAAATTTCATCAGTAACAATAATACATTGCTGTAGTTTTTGCGAGGCGACTATCCAGTGGTTAAGAGGGAACGCTCTGGATGGTTGTATCCATATTCCCTGAAAAAAGGGGGATCCAAGAAACTCCAATCAGAGTTTCCCAACATATAATAAGAAAACAACGCATGTAGAAAGATGGGGTTATCCGTTACATTACATACGGTTTGAGAATTATTGGTAAGGTTAAGGGCATAGAAGTCTGAAAGTTCATGTGAAACAACACACTTTGAGGTGGATTGACATTCCCAAACACCAGGATTCAAGTTGCAAGAACTTCGAAACGACGGAATGATAAACCACAAACGGTGATCTGAGCAAGATAAGCACGTGTCAAAAATGAACATGAGCCAAGAGAATCGGGAATTTAATGGACAAAAAGCAGGAGTTCTTAGATCCCCTGCGTAGTGAATGGGTTATATCCCACTGTTAACCAGTTAACGAACTCCATGGTCCATCTAAGTGCTCTTCTTATATTGGGGCGCATACACCCGCTCCAACAGATTGACACTCATTGGACGGGATAGTTCTGTACACTGTAAGATTGGGCCATTTAGCCAGATGCCCGCGCGGGTGTGAGGATGTGTTGCCAACAATTTGGGTCAAAAACTGACTTGGGCACTCATTCCAAGGGCCAAAAATATCCAATAATGTGGGGTGGGTTTGTCTGAAGATATGGAACCCCCGAATTTGACGATTAGTCATCATGTTCCCAGTTTAATGGCCATAAGTTTCACAACGAGTTTGGACAAGAACTACCACGGTTCTGGCAGATCGTGCTTGTGTGGCTGGCGCACGGCTGACAGATTCCACAGCCAGACAGATTCCAAGTCGGGGGATGCGTCAAAACCTATCATTACCCTCTGGTAAACTAACAGTTATGGTGGTTTAATGGGATTTAATGAGGGTTTATGGTGGTTTAATGGGATTTAATGGGATTTACCCTCTGGTAAACTGTCCCATAACTATGGCAAGATCCACCATTTTCAATGGGTAAATCCACTATTTCAATGGCCATTTTCAATAGCTTTTTGTCAAATTACCAGAGAAACTAACAGTTTGGAATATTACTAGATACCCTCTGGTAATTTGGGATAGGTAATTAACAGTGGTAATTAACAGTGGTAACAATATTACCAGAGGGTATCCCATTTTGGGATTACTATCCAGTGGTAACAATATGTTACAATATTGTTGGATTATCCCATTAATATACGGCGTATCCCTTTTTTTTACTGGAATATTACTGGATACCCTCTGGTAATTTGACAAAAAGCTATTGAAAATGGCCCAGTCGAAATAGTTGATTTACCCATTAATAGCATGGTGATTTTCCATAGTTATGTGACAGTTTACCAGAGGGTATACAATATTATGTGGATTTTTGTGGAATAGACATCCATCAACCAGACATTTGTTTCGGGTACCTAGACCAGTGGCCAATCTCAGGACTCAGGGCAAGGTATCTTTCACGGCACGTGCTTTTTGTTCAGTCCTCACGACGTGAAAAGACAGACATTTTCAGACTACATGATTGATATCTCATGATATATTGAATATGTCGTATCCAATATAAATAAATTATATATATATAACAATATATATATATAACAATATATATATATATAACAACATATTGAATATATTTATATTGATATAACTATGGTATTAGATCATAAGATATTGTTGATATTCCATGATTATCCCCATCCTCATGTATCGATCATGGACAGCGGACGTGTTATATCGTTATCTTTAAGATATTTGATGAGATTTCCATATTTTAATGTCCATGGTCCATTATCATATATATATATATGAATATATGCATTAACTTCCATGATTCCTTAGACCTTAGATTCTAGTTATCATATTGTCGATAATGGTCATCCGTCTATTCACTTCCCATACGAAAAACCCATAGATCTGCCACAGTGCTGTTCCAGGAGATGCAAGACGGAAAGCACGCAGAAGGCCGGAGCATGGGGAGAAAGAATGACAGCTAGGTGGGTAAACCTATTCTACCTAGAGCATCATAGAGCATATTGGTCTATGAATATATAATAATATATATATAGTATGTGTATTGCATACATAGATATATACAAAACTCACATTGGGGATCATTGGGGTATCTAACCATACCTAACCAACAAAATGATGAATCTCATCATGGCGATATTCAACAAGAATCGTCGTGTTGAAGCCATGACAAAAAGTTGACGGCTCTGCTCGTAATGTGCTTGCATTGCCGTAATGCCTTGGCATATGGAAAAAAAAACATGTTCATGTATTTTCATAGTAGCAGAACCTATAGTTGTACACTAGATCATTTAGTCTCTTTGGCCCACCGAAACACGAAAAGCCTTTCACCTCTACCGGAAGCCACCGCGAGCTGTGACCTCCAGGTTCTCAGCTGTTGCGAGCGAAGATCGATATGCAGCATCCCAACATGAACATGAGAGATCCACCCATGTGTCTTGGCCAACAGACATGTTGTGGGGATTGGTGGACCCGGAAGTTGGGTGGGCTACCAGACATGGCGACATGGCAAACGGCGATGTGGATTTCACCAGGAAGAATGGTATCATAACGGATATACAAAAGACGATTGGTTGATGATCAGTTTTCTTGCTTTTCTAACCTATAACATAGGTTTTATATGGTTTAATATGGTTTAATATGGTTTAATATGGTTTTATGGATGTTTATGGTATACAATACATCTCCAATTTTTGGGATACGGGAGATTCCTGTGGCCGGATGGCCATCCGGCCATCCAGTTTTTCTTATGGGATTCCCTATGGGATGGACCAAAAACCAGCAAAAACCCTGGTCTTTGACCATGGCATGACTTTTTGCGTGTGTTTGAAAAAGGGGATTGCCTTTCTGATAGGGAAAAAATATGAAAAAGTTAAGGATTTGCAATTAATTTGGGTTCAATTGCAATTAATTTGGGTTTGGTTTTTTGAATATCCCTTAGGCTTTTGATTCCATGTAATTCTTGGATTTTCATCCACATGCACACCAAATGTTTAGAGGTATTGGAGAAGCCCATCAGCGGTCCATGTGTTTGACAGAAGGGATACTGTGAGCCCCACGCGTTTCTGAATCTTGTTGTTCTTTGTCAAATTGAATTCACAATCCCCGCAGACACAAATGAAGTGACTTTTAAGTGCGCCTACAGAATAAGTGGTAATTAGTAGACCCAGCTCCACTGTGCGATTTGATTTCACATATCACATGCAGGGACTCAGCTTCAGTAAATAGGATTGGTATATTGCAGGAATCCTTTCGGATCCGGACCCGGTGGGCCACCAGCAAATCCCCACAAAAACAACGAACAAAACGCAAACAGCGAGGGAAGATAGTCACATGTGGCCCAAAGTTTTGTCTTTTTGATTTTCTTTACTGCATTTTCCGCGCGTTTGGGCTCCCAGTGGTTTTGGATCGTGGAGTAATTTTTGAATTGTCACAAGACGCGCAAGACGCCCAATTTCACCGGGTTTGTTTGATTTAATTATGTGACTACTTGCCTTTGATAACTCGGTGGTGTTTCTCACATGCTTGACACACCCCGCATGGACATATTGGCTGCATGTTGTGTTCCAGTGTTTGTTAAGTCACTGGAGGAGCTTTTTTACTTGTTCGGTAGGAAAGCAAAATTGCCTGACAAAAAATATGTAACTGTTTCCTCAAAACGTGCCAAATACTCTTGCCAACATGAGTGAATTGGACTGTGGTCTCTAGTTTCAACCGATTGCAGGCGCACACACACACAGACACACACACACACAACCACGTGGCAGCAAAGTGGCAACAAACCCATATCTATATTTTATTGAAAGGACGTATGTATATATGTGTATATATATATACATATCTCATATATCATATTTATATATATATATACGCAAACGCGATCATATTTGCAAATATACACATATATTATGTATGTTTGTGTGGTGCTGAAACTTTTCGCACATGAGGTACATTTTGCACCAATTTTGTTCAGGGTGTAATGACTGTGGTGAGCTGCTTTTCCCGTTTTTGTACTCTCAAAGAAGTATTGAGCCGATGCTGCCACGGATTTGAAGACTCTGCGCTAGGCTACTTCATGCTATTTTTCTGCTTATGCAATAATTCTTGCACACGAGTGTAATGTTCTTTGAGGAAAGCAGTTGTCACTTCATACACTATTTAGGCACACAGTTTGAAAAAACGCCAACCATTTTCAAAGAACACACTTTCTGCAGGAAAGTGCAGCATCACTTTCAGAGACGGCAGCAACTCCGTGACAAGAGTGCAGTAAAGACCAGCTTTCAATGAGTCTTTCAAGATATACAGTATCCACACAGATAAAAAGCAGAGTGTTACCTTTCAAATTCAGTCCTTTGACATACAAGTCTGTTGCCATATGCAGTAGATATTGTTTCCAAGACAGTCCAGTTTCTTCCCTTGAGAAGGTGCAGCATATTCTTTAGATATAATCTCTCAACATATCATGCGCATTGGTAAAAGCGTGCCGCTTGCTTGTAAGAGAGTGTCGCATCGCTGTGTGCAAAAAAATGGCTAGAAGAGAGCAGCATTTCTGTGAAAAGAACGCGGCATTTCCTTGAACATGATGCAGTCTATATTGCTTTGAGTTCAGGGAGCCCTCAAAATGTGCGGCATTCTTCCGAAACGACAAGCATTCCTCCGAAACCAAGCGCCATCCCTTTACTAAAACCTCTCCCGTAAGAAATATATATATATATAATTATAAATAATTAAATGCATATACATGTAAATGATGTACATATATGCATATCATACATATATCATACCTCATATATATATATATTTATTTATGCAACTGTTCCATGGATTTTTGAAAAACACAATATTCCGCTGATAAACAATGTAGTAGCACTTTATGCAATTTTACCCTTGGGAGAGTTCTGGATTACAATACTTCTTTGAAAGAGTACCATTGACCACATGTAGGCATGTTTTTTCAGGAAACTTCTTGGCAAAGAAGTTGAGAAAATAAGTTTTAAAAGATAATGGCGGAAAGATTGTTCGTGTGAAAATAAGGGCCGCACCTCTATTGCTCATTGGCTATTGCGTTCGCACTTTTTGCCCTGAGAAACCCCCAGGCAAGCATTGCACTGGGACTGGTTGGGGCATAATCGTTGGGTTGTCCGACTTAGTTGATGAGTTTCCAGCTCATCAAGTACCGCAATCTCATGAGTATCCCATATACTGACTATAGTTTATTTCATGCTCATTAACGGGTGGAATCTTTCCATCGTTTGGTGGAGGTGGGTACTTTAAGCGTTGGGGATTCCAGCGAAATTGCAATAAACCCAAATATATAGCAATTCAGAAACATCGATATGGTAGATCTTGGGTTGCAAAAATGTGAACCTGACTTCCACCAAAGTCGTTTGACTTTGGTAGATCTTCAAATGCAAAACCAAATATGGTAGATCTTGACCCTTCAAAATGTGATAGCAAGATCTACCATATTTTGCTGGGATAAGGAACATCTACCAAAGTCAAACGACTTTGGTAGAAGTCAGGTACACATTTTTGCAACCTGACTTCTACAAAATCTTGTTTTTTTTCAGACCAAAATTGTTGCTATTAATTTGGGTCTGCGATTGCCCAATTTTCCACCAAAGTCGATCGACTTTGGTGGATAATTGGACCCTAATTAATAGCAACAATTTTCCAATCAATTTTCAGGACTTCAAGTGGTAAGATTTCTGAAGGGTGTTTGTGATCACTAACCCTGCCAAACATTGATAACAATTTTGAGGACCATGATTGCCCCATATTGCTCCAATATTGCTATTGTAGATCCTGATTTTTGGTCGATCCAACCCAACTAGACAAGCTACACAATGGGATGCCTACTGACTGCGCTGCACATAGCCTCACAGAATTCTTCTGCGCAGGCCTGTGATGCGACTGACCATGTTGAGCAATTTTCAAACATTACATGTGCTTCCATCCAGAGTTTCACTTGTTTTTGATTTCACGGCATGGGCTCGTATGGACACTTATACGGCTAGCCACTGCGCGGCTAGGCCCCCAAGACCAAAGTTATGGAGCAAGTCTGTATGAAGGTGAGGTGTGCCCTTCCAAATTGCAATATTTCTTGACAAAAAACATCGCAGCCAAAGCTACCACTTGCTTGAGAAGGCGTCGCGTTCGCATAAAGTGCATGTCCATGAACAAGTGCAGTATTCATTGCACGTCCATTTCTCAAAAAATAGGGCTTGCTCAAGAAGTGCCATATTCTTCAAGAACATGTAGTGTTTACATCAGAAAGTACCGCCAACAAGTGGCACGCTGTAGTCCCATACAGCAGTCTTTTTGAGAAGTTGGGTGCCTTCAGAAAACACATTGTTTCTTCAGATCAACGCAGCATAAATGCAGTATATCAGTATGCTATGAGGTGTGTCTTTTTGCATTCTTTTCCAAAATTCAAGATCCTCTGCGAAGGAGCAGCCTCAACATTGAGAGCCTATGTGTACAACGCAGCGTTTCTCCAAAGGGGTATCTGTATCCTTTTTAGAACGTATAGCTCCATAATTATGCGCAGCATTCCTTTAGTGCAGCGCACATACACACATATACGAAAGAAAGAGAGAGAGAGATATATATATATAATTACATCTATACATATGTAGTGTCATAATATATAATTTTGACTTACCAGGGGCAGCATTGCAGGCAAAGCAAAGTTCCGTTCAGAGAGTGTCAATTCTCTTAAGGTGTTGGACTTGGAGGCTTTCGTTCAAATGTGCTATATTCCTTGGAGGGGAGGTGCCAACCATCAAGGAAAACAGAGAGCATTCCTAAATACATATTTAAATGTGGTTCATTCCAATCACATACAAGGGCTAGAATAAACACAATGTGATTGTTGCAAAGTGCAATATCCATAAAACTGGAAGTTGTGTATAGTGCCCTGTACCTATGTTTAGGTTGTTCCAGGAACCTGTAAAGGTTTTGGAGCAATCTTCACTGTCAATCCTGTACTTATGATTTGTTCTAAAGGTGGTCCCGATCTTACACTATGTAGTTCCAGTGGTTTCAACATTGAACATTTCCAAACGAAACATCGGACAATCTTCAATCAATCCCTTACTTTCACTTTTTTGGGGACCGTCCAGGCTTTTATTTTACTCTTGAGTTTCAGTGGATCAAAGATCGAATATTGCCAGGACAAAGGCTTTGAGGGACACTTTCACCTTAAGTTTTGAATCCAGTGAACTTAAAGTGCTTGACAGCTCTTGAAGAATGTTCATTATACAAGGGATAGAATATTAGCAGAAAAAATTGGGAGAAGTCTTGCAGTATTTGTTTTTAAAAAAAGATACTTAACATCCATGAGCGGCCTGATTTATGCTATGTAGGGGATTGAATATTTCAATGAAACTGTCGTAGAATCTTGAATTTTCAGCGTAGCGAGCTTCAATGTGCTTTTAAGTCCCTATACATGGCCGAATGTACGTTAAGCGCAGGATTTAAAATCTTATAGCTTATGTTGAATTATGTTGAAACAATACTCTATCTTCAAGCTATTGGAACTTGAAAGTAGGTCATTTCAATCCCCTAAATATCCAAAAATAAACAATTTGGTTGCATGCGCTTTACCTTAGTAAGACAAACAAATCTGACGCAGAAAGGCCGCCAAGAGAATCGCATATATTTCTGTATGCATGTAAATATATATATATATATTATTTAAAATTATATGTATATATGTTATACCGACAAATATGTATATAGTCTATATGAGAGAAGTTTTTTTGATGTCCAACGCTGATACTGAGGCCCAAGACAAAAAATATCTATAATTACATTTACAATATGTGTGTATCACACTGCAATGCCAATTATATCTGCACATGAAGATCAACATCACATATGTCAACATATATATATATATTTGATCTACATGGCCCAAGGCACATTCAAAAAAACAGACCCAAATTAATTGCAATTGAACCCAAATTAATTGAAAAAGGCATGGGATTTTGGATATTTTGGCCTGCCCCGATTTCAAGAAACTCTGCCCTGAGGAACTAAATTTGAACAAATGCAAACTGCGGGAAGATGAATTCAGGCTATGCAGGTCTGACTTTGGAGGGGCGTGAACATGCTGGTGAGCATCCAAACTGGCTGTTCATGGATGCTCATGCGCAACACATACTCTATACATAAAATTGTTCTAGGTTCTGGTGCAACCCCATATCATGAACCTTGCTTTGTTTACTTGGTAATTTTCTGGCGAATATCCATTTGCTTTTACCCTTTCAACATGTTTCTCAAGGGCTCACATGGTAACGTGCTTTGAATCCGGCTGAGGTACCGGATTCGTTTCAGCAGTCACCACAGAAGCGGTGACAAGTGGAAGGCACGTTTGACGGGACCCGCACTACCAATGTATATAGGTCAAAGGGGGGTTCTTGAAATAGGGGACCCCCAAAATCATCCAGAAAATGGTGGGTTGAAATAGGAAAACCATTGGTTTGGATGTTCCGCATTGCAAGAGACCCCCTCATTTAAGGATTAGATGTTTTCATTTGGAGATTTGACCAATACAAATGGTGATTCAGCCAACAAATAGCGATTTTAGCCAACACAATGCGGTGAAATCGACAAATTGGGACGGAATTGGCCAGTATGGCTCGCCACTCACTTCCCTGGGTTTACGGGATGCAAACAGCAAAGGTGAAACTCAGCCGAATACATGGCTCGATGATGAGGACAGCTTGGATCCATTCACTTTGGAGGATGTTCAAAAGAATCGGAGCTCATGTGGCCTCGGCGATGCAGGTAAAGAAGTGATGACTTCATGTGGCTGCGGCCACGCCAAACTAGTTGCTGGTAATGGTTTAGTAGGAAAATTCCACAGAATTGGGACCATTTATGGGGTGTTTAATATCAGGGTGATGGGATTAATATGGATTAATATGGATTAATTAAATATGTTAATATTCTTCTCCTGTCAGACTAGTCTCTCTCACTTGGAACACTGGAACTCCCACAAGTTGAGCCACAATAGCTTGTTCCTGGGGTCAAGCAGATGGTTTGCAAATGAACGGCGTATGTGCCATCGCTGCGCGTCATTTTTTGCAGATTGCAGCCTCCGGATGACATGTTTGTGGTATCAAACAATCTGATATCAGAGTGCTTGGTATGTTGGCCTATTGATAGATTTATCATGATTTATCCATAAAGATCATAAACCACGATGTACCTCAGTTTGATTCAGTTTGTTCGTTTATCGTTTTCCCACTGCTTGATTCATCAAAAAATTGGGACCCTCCCAATTTCACACAACAATTTTGGGTATGTGAGAATAGCAACAAAGACCACATACCAAACTCACATGGTTTTGGTGAACATGGCCAAGTTGCTTTCGGTTGGATATATCAGTTTATAGAGATAACATAACCAAAAATTCACTGCAAAGGAGTTGTAAAACCTAAAACGAGAATCAGTTTTAGAAGATAAACATGTTCTCAAATATTTCAGATGCCATTTATGGATACTTAATGATACATATATATATACACATATATACACATATATGATAGAATAAGTGTTCCAAGACGGTGTATTCACGGCCGCCAGGTCTATCCGATGTACGACTTTGCGCACGGCAACGAGGATGCCATCGAAGGCGAGTGGCACAATGTGGCACATCTCGATGGAAAAAAAAAATGGTGCCATAAAAATGCGATAAATCTGGGTAAACAGATTGGATCAATAGTGGTTAATATATACCCTCTGGTTATGACTAACATAGCCATGGTATAGATGGCCCATTTATAGATGGTTTACCTATTAATAGCATGGTGATTTTCCATGGCGAGCTGTTAAATAAGCAGAGGGTAATGGTTAGAAGTGGTTAAAAATGGTGATTGGTAATTGGTAATTAATGGTTATTAAAAATCTTGGTAAATTGAACAGTTCTGGCCCGAAATACCAGATATAAGTACAGAAGTAACCCCATTTATAGAATGTATAATCCCATAGAAATAACCAGTTATAACTAATAAATGACCATAACTGTAGTGACCTCACTGGAATTATGATTAGTAACTAGCTAGTCAGGGGCAACTATCCCAAAATAGCTTTATTTCAGGTTAGTGAATAAATACATTTGTTTCAGATAAATTGGTAAATCAACCAACGTGTGTTATAGAAATCTTGCATGGACATCCGAGTGGGTTAACCTTTGGCAAATCTAACCTGGCGATTGGTTCTTCATGGGAACATATATGAAAATACGTTGGAAAGTCATAAATGGAGGAATTGTCAATTGCCAGGAATACCGAAAGGAAATTCCATGGGTTTGCTCAAGATGGGCCGATGATGATGATGATGATGATGATGACCATGATGACCATGATGACCATGATGACCATGATGACCATGATGACCATGATGACCATGATGACCATGATGACCATGATGACCATGATGACCAAAATGACCACGATGACCATGATGACCATGATGACCATGATGACCATGATGACCATGATGACCATGATGACCATGATGACCATGATGACCATGATGATGATGATGATGATGACGATGATGATGACAATGACGATGACGATGACGATGATGATGACGAGATGATGATGATGATGACGACGACGACGACGATGACGATGATGATTGTGATGATGGTGATGCTGATGATGATGATGATGGTGATGATGACGATGATGACGATGATGGCGATGATGACGATGATGACGATGATGACGATGATGGTGACGATGACGATGATGATGATGATGATGACGACGACGGCGATGACGATGACGATGACCATGATGATGATGATGATGATGATGGTGATGGCGATGATGATGATGATGACGATGATGACGATGATGATGATGATGATGACGACGACGACGGTGATTGTGATGGTGATGGTGATGGTGATGATGATGGTGGTGGTGGTGGCGGCGGGGCATGGATCTTGAGTTGAAGCGCTATGTATGTATCTCGACAGCTTCTCTATGAAGAAAATAAATGCCAGCTGATTTGTTCATAGCCCGATGCTTTCTGGTGGCACACAATTTTCACGAAAAGCGATTTGTGTTTACAGAATTTTCACGAAAGATTGAAAGAAGAGGTGGTTCCCAGACAAGCTCCTCCAGTCCTGCAGAAGGCATTTCCAAAACAGATATTTGTCAAGCAATTGACCAAATCGTGCGAGAGGAATTCTTGCATGCTCAAGTGAGTTTGGTTGACCAGAAGAAGTTAAGTTTCCGAGAAACAAGTACCTGCGGGCTTGTGCATGAGGAAGTTGGAAGATTTTCCCATTACTTTGGAAAGGTACGGAAGTACGCTTAAAGGATTTGATCATCCACAGCGAAGCAATACCCTGGACACACCTTGGTCTACTGGAGGTTAACCATGATGGGAACTTGTTGATCTCCCAATGAGGAACCCTTCTTTTTTGGTTTTTGGCCATAGAAGGATTCAACATATTTTTTGGCTTAATACCTGTCGAGGTCTGATCATTGTTTGTTACGTGCACCATGAAAATCCATGAAATACTTGTATTATCAATTATCAATTATTATTATCTTGGTTCCTTTCCTTTTGATCACCGAACATCTTGGATTTGCTGCGCACAGCTCCCCTTTTTGGCACAGTTCGGATGTTTTTTGACCGGCGGTTTCAGGTGTCACGCACTCCATTTGCACCTTGGAATTTGAGAACCACCGGGCCTTGTACGACTGGTTCCTGGTGCCTCGGAATAGCAGATGTCTGGGGATCATGGGGCGACATGTGCTGGGACTATAGAACTACCTTCAACCAATAATGGTGAGTAGATAGGTAGATAGGTGGTTAAACATCCCAGTATTTATAGGATTTATAGGATTATTATCTACCATCACAATGTGAAATTTGGGGATTGTGGAAAATGGATGAAAATGGATTGAAAATGGTGGGTTTATTGGGCAAAACATGGCAAATACATGTATTTTTGTGGTGATGAAACCAACCATTAATAGGGATAAACAGGAATTATATTATGTTATATCCCATAGGATCCATGTATACTATATATGGTAACATTTACCATCAATATACCCCCAATGTTAGCATATATACCATACATGGATCCTATGGGTATAGTAATGGGAAATTTGCGAGGATATGTGATATAAATACAAGAGACGGGTTTGTTTGCAAATGTTGTGAATCCCGAAAAAATTGGAGGATCGCTATCAGCTCTCCTAAATTTTAGAATAGATGGCGGGTATTCCCCAATTTTTGGGCAATGCCATTGTGGCATCACATTTTTATGCAGAAGAGGTCTTTGCCGATGGTAAAAGATGCCCCCAAACCTGATTGCTGTTGTGTAGAATTGTACCTAGAAAATCCTAGAAATGTATCAGATGCAGTTGTTGCTACTTGGATGGTTTTTTGTTACTTGTACCCTCTGGTAAACTAACATAACTATGGAAAATCACCATTTTTAGTGGGAAAACTCACTATAAATGGCCATGTTCAATAGCTATGTTAGTTTACCAGAGGGTAGTATATTAGTGTTTGCAAACCAATTGTATGGATGAAACCCAAAGATTCCGCCCGTGTTTTTCAGGTGCGTACAGTACGGACATCAGTAATCATCACTATGCATACCCTCTGGTAAACTAACATAGCTATTGAAAATGGTGATTTATAGTGGATTTACCCATTGAAAATGGTGATTTTCCATAGTTATGTTAGTTTACCAGAGGGTAAATCATATTGTTGGTTTGGTCATGTTAGGCCCGTGAAGCCATGTTGCCTCTGATGTCCTTTGAGGTTTATCTTTTTTGAGTTGATTGTCAAGTCATGTAGAATAAAGGGGTACCACCAGCACCTTGCCGTTAAACTACCTCAAGGCGGTTGAAAGATTCAAGTGTTGCTGGATTTAATCTTAGCAATATCCTAATATCCGAATATATCTGATAATTCACTCATACTATTGATGTTTGACAAGATTCAATATCTTCAAATATCTTCAATAAATCCATCAATATCCCAGAGAATCATAGTCTAAGGTGATTTAGGTCTATGTTCACCGGGTGTCTCCGGATGATTGTGAACTGCCATGCCGCCGCGTCGTTTCGCGAGGATAATTGCAGCATCATTCCAAGCAGACCATACCAGAAGGACAGCCTGGCTGAGAATGGAGGATTTAACCGACAAAAAATGAACATAAAAGTCATAAAAGCTAACACCATTGTGATATATGAGGGTATAAATATGGTATCTGATTGGTGGTTTCAAACATGAATGTTATTTTCCATAATAAAAGAGGGAGGTCATCCTTCCCATTGACGAACTCCACATTTTTTCAAGATGGTTATTGCACCACGAACCAGTTATCTATCATCATCTATAGAAAAATTATAGATGGAACCATGATCTGTATAGAGTATCAACAATCAACATGCCTATTTTCCATGGTTTTCATGGTTTCTGTCAGTTTGACAAACATTTCATCCCCACTTGACGTGCCAAGCAATCAGCTCGGAAAAGGTGTATCGATCCCATCAACGGCGGCTTGACGTATATCCATACACCAGAAAGCCATATTAATGGAGGTTTCCTAAAATGAAGGTACCCAAAAATGGATAGTTTGTGCTGGAAAATCCTATTAAAATGGATGATAACTGGGAATTTTGGGGGGTACCCCCAGTTATCATCCACTTATAGATTGGGATGTTTCAATATAAACCATCCAGCTATGGGGATTTGGGGGTACCCCCATGACTAGTCGGAAACCCGATGACTGAACCCTCGATCACGGCCGGCCAAACTCGGGGGTCCCAGGAGTTTGCCCGGCTGGAAGTGCAGGGTGCTGTGACCTCCAAGAGAAAGCTCCTGAGGTGTCCTGGTTGCATCGGACTGGAAAAACCACCAAGAAAGTGAAGGAAAATTGGGATATCATCAGGAAGAATATGAGATTTAGCCAAGAAGACCTATGGGATTTTACATGATAGCAATGGGGATATAGAGTCGATGTAAGTGGGGAGAATGGAAGTATAAAATAGCATAAAGGGGGTTATAGGGGCGAATATCGATCCATAGACACTGAGACAATTTCATGCCTATTCCAATTGCAGGAGAACGGGGTGTCGTACTGCGCCTGCACTTTGATCAGAAGATATCAGAAGGAACTCTTCTGAGGAGTATACTCGTGCATTATTGGAGAGTGAGATATCTGCAATCATTCCAGTGATCTTTGTGCGTTTCAACAGAGACCAGAAAGCTGAGTTGGCAACTGAGTTGTCAATGGAGTTGTCAGCACTTGCTGCGACGATCAACATCAGGCGGTCGAGAATTATCGCAGGAGTGGGATCTTTGCTATTCATTTTTCCCAGAGGTATAGCATTCGGTCACACAAGGATCAAATCGTGCAGTCTCTGGTTGAGCAGGTTGGGTGGATCATCCAGTTCGGCAAGTTCGCATTCGTATCCAGTGTCCTTTTGGGAGAAAGGGAACTGTTCGCCCCGGGTATTGAAATGCCTTGATTAGCTGTGAATTGTACATTGTAAGGATGCATTGGCTAATAGAGACTAACTTGGGTATACCAATGCGGTACCAGTACATTGCATGGAGATGCAAATCCAAAAAATGGTGGGTTTGCCAATAACAACTGATTCCAATCATTGGGGAATGATCATGTTGATAGAATATCACTGGGGTAATTGTTGGATGATCATAGGGTCATATCAGTGGGGAAATACCAGAAAATTGGGGATACCAATCAGACCTTGATTTTTTTCTGTGGGAACAAAGGGCTATACCGCATGCCAATAAGATGAATTTATGTAAACTAACTCTGGCTACCAATAAAATGGTGCTATATCAATGGCGTATTTGTAGCCTCAAGTTATACATCAACGGGCTGCAAAAGGCGACTCTTCATGGGGAGGAAAACCCTGTGATTTGGGGCTTTGCCCCGGCAAGCCTTTTTTGGACATTCGAATCAATCCTGAAAAGGATTGTAAACTTAGAAACCTCAAAAAAACAAGCTGTTGATGAATCCTGAGTTGATCACTGAAAAAGGATATAAGAATGAAGGTATCATACCGACAAGTTCTGTGAGATATGTCATCCTTGAAGAATTTGGAACCCAGACCTCCAATACTCCAAACATTGCGAAGATCTCGCCAATCATTATCCAAAATAGTGGGAATCTCCATCCTCCTGCAGTCTTGTTTTTTTGCAATGTGTGTATTGAGCTGTATACGGGCAAATTATAACGACCTCACTGCGACCTCACTGGGAATCATGGTTAATAAGGGAAATCATCCCCAAATGGCCTTAATTCAGGTTTGTGAATTATTATAATTTGCCCAGATATGTTGTTTATTTGTTGTTGGTATGTGCGTTTTTTTTTATGTGTGTGTGTATACATTATATAATATAATATCTGCATACCCTCCTCCAAATTAACATATATAGATCCTGCCAAACAGGGGGTTGGAAGACTAGTTTCCACTAAAACTGAACCATTTTCAGAGTCGAACTGTTAATTGATGTACTGGAGGGTGTATATACATACTTTTTGTTTTAATGCATCGGATTTACTTACTGGTGCCTAGCACGCAGGGAATTTTCGGGAATTATCCACTGGCTAACTATCAATTTCATCATCCCAGCAACCCCCAGCAACCCATCCAGCCACCCTACGTAAAACGCACCAGTAAGTTTATGCTGACGTTATTTGACCCTCCGACTTTTTCGGAGAACAGCCACTCCACAGCTGAGGTTGGTGAAGGCTTGTGGGGGTGCATCACAGGTTCCAGCAATCTGAAATATTGGAACATGGCTTTTATGTTTCCCATCATATTGGGAATAATAATCCAGAAATAATAAGAAATATATGGAACATGAATTTTATGACTTTCCATTCAGTTGGGAATGGAATAATCATCCCAACTGACGAAGTCCATCATTTTTCAGAGGGGTTGGTTGGTATACCACCAACCAGTATATGCTGGGAAAAAAGAGCAACTACTGTATCATTGTTTTTTTTTAAATGGGGATATCATGGGGGATAGGAAGAAGAATGGGGAAATTTTCACGCTGGGGGTATTCCGCTCCGTGGCTGGAAAATCATCGAACTATGGCTGGTGGATTTTCCAGCAAGCCACATGACCGATTACTGGAGGGTTTTAGTCGTTTCCAATAAAAGGATTTTACTATCATAGGGCTTTGGTAGCCTTCATTTTGCTGGGAAATAATTTTGGAAATGTGTTTTTCACCATTCTTACCCTCTGGTGAACTAACATAGCTATGGAAAATCACCATGCTATTAATGGGAAAATCCACTATTAATGGCCATTTTCAATAGCTATGTTGGTTTACCAGAGGGTAAATCACCATAAAATCCCATCAAATCCCATGAAATTATCACTGTTTTTACTGCAATATAATGGGGATCTTGATGTGATGAACCCTTGGATTTTTGTTTGGTTTCCCTGGTTTTGGGGCTTACCCTGTACCGGTGTACATGTTCTTTGTGTGAAAATTAGGTAGGTAGAATGTGGTAAGCCAATAGTAAACCATATCAACTTTTTGCTATGGTGGGTGAGTTTCTAACCTTCAAAAATGGGAGGGTTCATTGGGTTTACCATCAGCGTTAAACCATATAGTTAAACCATAGTTAAGCCATAGTTAAACCATAGTTAAACCATAGTTAAACCATAGTTAAACCATAGCTAAGCCATAGTTAAACCATAGTTAAACCATACTTAAGCCATAGTTTTCCATGTGTTTTCCCATCGTTTCCCCGGTGTTTTCCCATTTCGGAGCCCCTTGGGACGTCGGTTCCGCCCTGCCAGGAGGGCCACGTCAGCGGCTGGGACGACTCACGGCTGCTGACGATCCGCGGCATCCGGCGCCGCGGCGTGCGGCCGCAGGGGCTGAAGTGCATGGCCGACGGGGTGCCGTGGTGAAACAAAGGATGGCTGATTGGTGGTTTGGAACATTTTTTTCAATGGATTGATTTGTTTATGTAATGGGTTATTTGAAATATGCAAGATATAATCGACTGGTTGGTGGTTTGGAACATGGTTTTGATGTTCCATTTCATATATGGGATGTCATCCTTCCCATTGACGAAGTCCATCATTTTTCAAGATGGGCACAGCCAGCACCACCAAGCAGATGGGATGATGATGGGATGATGGGATGATGCCATGAATCTATATAGCTTGTTTAAGGGTATACCCTCTGGTTATGACTAACATAGCTATTGAAAATGACCATTGAAATAGTGGATTCTCCCATTAATCATGGTGATTTGCCATAGCTATGTTAAATTACCAGAGCCTATCTAAGGGTATTATGATAATAAGATGATAATGACAATAGTATAATAGCTATATGAAAACATATGAGAATGATAGATATATGAATCAACTTAGATATATGATAGCAATACCTATATTATGATAATAAGATGATAATGATAATAGTAAAAAGCCTATATGATGATCATATGACAATGGATGAACATAAGATGATCATAAGATGATGATTGGATGATGATGGGTATAGCCTCTATGATGAGATGTTATATGGGTAGTATCATAATTTGTTATTACAATATTACTTATAATTATGAAGATGTTGTTACAATATGGTTATTATGATATGTAATAATTTGATAGTATGTTATTATGGGTATCATGATGATGTTTTCATGGGTATTATGATGATGTTTTCATGGGTATTATGATGGTAATATGATAGTGATAGTAACATCATCATAATCTCATGATGATAATGTGATAATAATGATATTTTGATAAATGTGATGACAATATGATACTTGATAATAAACGAGCATGTTGTGGTGCTAAGATTATGATGACAACATATTTAGTGGATTGGTCAGAAACCCCTTTCTTTATACACCTTGATCAGGGGGTAGACCTATTATTACATAACCATAAAACATATTAAAGGGGATCATCCTTGATGATACCTATCATCCATGAACATTTGAATAGACCTATCATACATATTATCATGTGTATTGTTGATATTATGTATTTGGGGATATCATACATAGTACCTGCACATACATCTTATATGTGGGCAATGAAGCCCAGCGGATGATTTTTAACTACAGATTTTGCCATGCTTATCACAGGAGCCACGGCACGATACTGAAACATGGTACATAAGAAACATTGCGACCATACATTTGATGCAACGACACTTCAATGTAAATGGCCTGTTACTCTCCATCAGTTTGCATGTTTAAGTTTTCCAGTGCCCATGTTCCGATTATGATGGAAAACAATCCCAAGCATTAGACATTTTATCGATTAATTTATCTATACGACTATTCTATCTATTTAATCTATCCATCCATCCATCTATCCATGCAACAATCTACATTCTACAACATTAAAATATTGGTAAACATTTTACATTACAAACTGGGAGTCCAGCACATCGCGTCGAAAACTTAGGTGGGCGTCAGCGACCGCAACAGCACCACCCCCTGGGATTTCGTGGAGGACCAGTGACCAGTGACCAGCCTCTGGTCAACGTTTACATAACTATGGAAAATCACCATGTTTAATGGGACAATTCACTATTTCTATGGCCATTTTCAATAGTTTTTTGACATAACCAGAGGGTACATCATCTTACATCCATATGATATTCATAGTTCTATATGTCTCTGTCTCCCATGTCGGTTTTCTTTGGTTTGGTAGAGGGAGTCTGTTGCTTCTTCTTTTCAACAAATGGGGGAAGATAGTGCATGATTTTGCCCGCAAAAAATCAATGAGTTATATACTTTTTAAGGATGTCTTTGGCAAATGGCATGCCGTATCTTCGAAGAAAATCATCATGAAATCATCCGACCCCGGGCACCCTCCCATGACTAGCTTTGCACAGAAGGATCTTGGGAGGCTGATTGAATTCAAGATCAATGGAGTCTCCAAATCTTGAGAATTCCTGGGACATCTCCAATGGACCTAACCTTTTTTGTTCCAAATCCTCCACAACATCCTTCACTAAAATAGGATACTCCAAATCTCACGATGTTTCGAACATCAGATTAAAAAGTAGAATGTTTTGGGCCAGCTGATATCCACCATTTTTCGAGACACCCATCTGTTTTTTTTGGATTTTTTCCATTTGATTCCCCAGTCCAAACCAGTCAGACAAAAACCATCAGCTTGGGGGCATGAACTGCCATAAATCCCCGGCATTTTGATGTGAAAACCAGGAGTGTTGGAGAGAAGACTTGGAGCCCATTAGCAAGCGACGGTTGGCGGTGTTGGATCCCCTGGAAGTGGTACCTTGCTGCTGGCGACGACATGGAAATCGGGGTGGGAAACTGCCATTTTTTGGGGGGAACGTGTACGGAAAGTTTGTGGATCATTCATGTTCCTGTGATTCGTTTGGCAATTTGGAGGGTTTCCTCCGATTTTGTTGGAGAAACCAAGATCTTGTGGATGAACTTGGGGTAATCCACACAGAGTCAAAGTATGGTGATTTGATAGGCAGTCGCCAACAGTGTTGAGGTTTTCGGACTGATACAAAGGGAATAAGGGAATCATACCCGAAAATCTGATATTTGGGTTTGTCTAAAAACATGATTTATTGGGGAAACGTGATGGTGGATTCAATTGTGCTTGGGTCAAATGTAACATGAGTTGATTTACTGATTGTTTTTTGTGGAACATAATCTAATGGGATTCAACCAATCATTCGTCATAGAAAATGGTGATTTTTCCCCAAAAGTGGCAATGTTAATAGGGAACATGCTGAATATATATTAATATATACATACTGGTTGGTGGTTTCAAACATGGCTTTTATTTTCCATAATATGAATGGATAATCCTTCCCATTGACTTTCACACTTTTCAGAGGGGTTGAAACCACCAACCAGTATATATATATTATATATGATATTATATGATTATATGTAACCAGTGGATTCGGGAACAGTCCATTTTCAAAGCCATTTAGATTTATGTGAGTCTTGCCATCTCTAGTGTTGCCAGAAATCGGTGGCATGAACCATCACTTTTCTTGTTTGGCTGCAGAGTCGCTTTACTTGACATTGGTTGGAATAGAACATGATATTATGGTGGGTTTTCCTATTGAACCTCCATTTATCGTGTATTTTCCCATATTGTCCATGATTTTCCAGGATATCAAAGCCTTATCTTGCTTGCCACCGACGCTCACTTAGGAGATTGTCGACTACAACAAGGAGGACCTGGGTCCTTGTGAGTGATTCAAGGTTGGTTTCTTCGCAGATCCCCAAAGAGCATCAACACATACATACCAGTATGTTACATATATGGATATACTTAGACGTTTACATAGACATACACATCCGCACGCATGCATTTGAAATTTGTATCAGGTTGGTATAAATTTCGAAGCGTGCGGAGGAAAATTTCGAAGTATGTCTACACACATATGTTTTGACTTGCAAAGTTAAACATCCATATGATACCCATGTATGCCCATGTTTCTTACTGTTTCCCGATTCTTGCCTGGTTAATGAAAAATGGTAGTCCCAACACGTTCAACGGGATCAATCCATACCAGCTGATGATTGTTTACAACTGGCAGTGCCGATCAAATCTGGAGATTTCAACTAAGATCATCACTAAGTGATGTGAATGGCTTGGAATGGGTTTTTTTCCATCTTCTCATCTACTCCAGGATGATTAATGATTATATTATTTACATATTACATATAGATATATGATATATATATAGATATATATATAATTAGACATTATATATAATGTATTTATATATATATATATATGTACATAACTCATTATATGTATCATATTAAACTCCTATAATAAAATGGCCAGTTACACGCTGTTATCCGCAGGAGCTCATTGAGGGCATCACCGATCTCCCCGAGCAATCCGCCAGCAGCGACCCCAGCTGCGCGCGCACGCTGAGTTCCTTGGTGCGGAACGGTAGCGGTGGCGGAGCGGGGTGCACGGTGCAGCGCAGGGGGTTGATGTAAAATCTATTCTGGTTGGTGGTTTCAAACATGTTTTTTCCATAACATATGGTTTGGAACATGGCTTTTATTTTCCATAATATGAATGTATAATCCTTCCCATTGACTTTCATATTTTTCAAGATGGTGGTTTTAACCACCAACCAGAAATCTATTGATGTTCACCTGAAACCCTGCCTTAAACAGTCTCAGTGATGAAATTAAAACTCAAATATCTCAAAATGGTCACATGGCGATCAGATCCAGCTGGGTTCTTAAGTCATGATCTCCAAGGGACCATAGATTTCAATACTATAGACTGGTTGGTCATCCATGACGACTGCATGATTTGGGGCTACCCCTATTTTAGGAAACCTCCATTTAGGCTACCCCCCAAAAAAAAGAGTGGGAGATAGGAATTAACCATTATCTTGAGGGTTTCAATTATTTGGTGTGTTTTTCAACCCACCAAGCAGAAAAAAGGTTACCCCCAGAAACTTCATTTTTCCCCACCTGCCAGGTGAGGGTTGTTAGATTTTATGTCAGTTGCCTCCTCCTCCTCCTCCTTCTCCTCCTCCTCCTCCTCCTCCGCCTCCTGCCTCGTCCTCCTCTCCTCCTCCTCCTCGTCCTCCTCGTCGTCCTCGTCGTCCTCGTCGTCCTTGCTCAACTGCGACCCGCGATCCACAGTGTTCTCTGCCGGACCTCAACCCCGACCATCCACGCCCAGTGTTCCCTGCCGGACCTCAACCACGACCATCCACGCCCAATGTTCCCTGCCGGACCTCAACCACGACCATCCCCGCCCAGTGTTCCCTGCCGGACCTCAACCACGACCATCCACGCCCAGTGTTCCCTGCCGGACCTCAACCGCGAGTATCCACGCAAAGTGTTCCCTGCCGGACCTCATGTAGGAAGATATGGGACAAAGAATGTGCAGAAGAAAGTTAGAAAGAATGTCAGAAAGAATGTCAGAAGATATGCCAGAAGATATGCCAGAAGATATGCCAGATAGAATGCCAGATAATATGCCAGAAGATATGCCAGATAGAATGACAGATAGAATGCCAGAAGATTTGCCAGATAGAATGCCAGAAAATATGCCAGAAGATATGCCAGATAGATATGTCAGAAGATATGCCAGAAGATATGCCAGAAGATATGCCAGAAGATATGTCAGAATATCTGCCAGAAGATATGTCAGATAGAATGCCAGAAGATATGTCAGAATATATGCCAGAAGATATGCCAGATAGAATGCCAGAAGATATGTCAGATAGAGTGCCAGAAGATATGCCAGATAGAATGCCAGAAGATTTGCCAGATAGAATGCCAGCAGATATGCCAGAAGATATGCCAGATCATATGCCAGAAGATATGCCAGATAGAATGTCAAATAGAATGTCAGAAGATATGTCAGATAGAATGCCAGAAGATTTGCCAGTAAGAAAATGTATAAATGTCATGGTGGGGATCACACGAAGTAAAGTAATTTTTATGATAGTTTTCCCCAAGTGGCAATCAAGCGTGATGTAATTTGTTTCCCATATTTGGTCTTAAAACACAACTTTGGGGGTTATTAACCAACAATGATGGCTTATATCAGCAGGATATTGGGTACAGTAATAATTATTGTTATAACAATATATTATACATTCCATTATTGTTATTAATGGGGTATATATATATATATCAGCTTGTTATTATTGTTATAATGGGGATGTAATGGATTATATATACCCCAAAACTGCAAATTTTGTGCTGGGTTGTTCTCCATTCTGAGAATCGCAATCTTTGGGGTATAACCAATTTGTGGGCAAAACCCAAATAGGTATTTGTGTATATTATATATATATATATTATACTAGTATATGAGGGTGATTATATGATTTCATGTCCCTTTCCAACATCATCCCAGAGTCCATGGAATCATCCCGGAAATTCGTCAATCTGCTGGTGGAATCACCGTGACCCCGACGGCTGGAAGTCCGCACAGCAAGCCTCCGTGTCATGGAACTCACGGCTGGAAGTCCGCGCTTACGCGCGGGGCAAAGTCGCTCTTGACGGCACCCTTAAGTCGGGTCAAGGTGTCCAAGTTGGTGTGTCCCGTGGGAAGGACATCTTCGATTGATGGATGTTCTGGCTGTGGCGCTACACGGCCAACAAGCAGTTCTCGCCTGACGATGCGCAGGATGGCTATGTTGAATTCCCATGGTCATCATGGTCATGCCAGGGGTCACCGGGTCACCGGGTCACCCATTGGGAACCTGGTGGGATGAAGGGGGGCCCTTTATGGGCCATTCCCAGGTTTTTCCAAGAGCCTCTTCATTGACCGCAGTGACTATCAGGAGAAAACCGGAATCACCGGGGATCACCGGGATCCTGTGGATGTTTCTGGATGTTTATGGAGCACCAGAATTATCCAATCAACCAGAAGGATCAATGGATAGTAATAGTACCATGGTACTCAATGAGTGTTGATGGTTAGTGCCATGTTAGTAGCATTTATCCTTCTGGTTGATTCTGGTTGATGTTGATGATGATCTAAATTAGGTTAAGATCCAGTCATCACCCCAATTTGATAAAAATGATTTTAAAGGAAAGTTCAATTAATTTCTTTTTTTGCGCGCGGCAACTGTAGGTTTCGTCCGCTGTCTAGAATTGAGGTTTGATTGGGGTTTGTACATATGAAAACACAGCAGATCGAAGGTGTGGTCATGGCATGGCTTTCTCCAATAGAATGCGCAGCACAGAGATGTTTTCAAAGTAAGCCTGGAGTTTGTACATATGAAAACACAGCACATCGAAGGTGTCACCAAAAAAAGTGCTCATTCCTCAGTGAAATGAGCTGCGCGCAGACATTAACAAGGTTTGTTTGGGGTTTGCACATATGAAAATACAGCAGAAGGAAGAGGAACAAAGCATTGCAAACAAAAACGACAGGTAAAGAACAGATGATCAAGACGTACGGGGAGCGAGCTGCATGCAGATCCGCCTGCATGGACTTTCGTGGTGCAAGCATGCAACTCCAACTATATACTCTAGAGGCCCTTCGCTGCAAGACCAGACTTGGTGCCAGATTTTGGGCCCAAAACCGGGTCCTGTTGCAGAGCTCAAAAATTGGGACTTGCGTGTCTCGGTTTCAGTGTGTGTGTGTTGCTTTCTGTCTTTCTCTGTCTTTCTCTGTCTTTCTCGGTCTTTCTCTGTCTTTCTCTGTCTTTGTTTTACAGGCAGAGTGCATTGTAAGCCGAAAAACCCTATTGACCCGCGTTTGTGTTTTTTCGTCCTTCCACCTTTGCGCGCTTTGTCCACGCGATGCGACTCCCTCTTCTCTTCCCTCCATGTGCGGGATTTCAGGGTCGTAGAATAGGATCCAGACATATCCAGACCCCAAATTAAGATCAGTGATAAAGGAACCGGGTCTCCTGGAACATTTAGGACATGTTGATCGTTGCTTCATTCAACAATCGACTCTATAATAATCGACTAGTGACTATAATCCAAGTGTTCTATAATCCAAGTGGTCTCTTGAAACATCTTGGAACATTTGGCATTTGGTCTTCGGGATTTACCCATAGAAATAGTGGATTTACCCAAAGTCAGGAGAATCCACCAGAGGGATACTTCCGCCTGGGCGCCATTGGAAGCGAAGTAAAGCTTCGTCATTCCTACGTGCCTTGGTGGACGAAAAAGTCGGAGAAGTCGAAACGTAGTCGAGTCGAGTCGACGGAATTTTTGTCAAACGGGTTAGCCTCTGGTTATTGGAAACATGTTGGACCATGGAAATAGCGATTTTATGGCATTTTTATAGTGATTTAATATTAATGGGATAATATGGGATATACCCTCTGGTAATTTGTAAACAAACAGTTTGAACATGGATCATAGAAATAGTGGATTTTCCCATTTATGGCATGGTGGATCTTTCCATAGTTATTGAACATGGCCCATTTACAGTGTATTATTGTTCTACTAACATTATTTTATTATTGATGGATCTTATTGGAAAGTTCTACTGGTAGTTTTTTAGATGTTGGACCATCGAAATAGTGGATTTACCCAGCTAGAAACTGGTGATTTGTACCCATAGTTATGTAAACGTTTACCCATAGTTAGCACCCTCTGGTAGATTTAATAAACATGTTGGACCCTGAAAATCACCCATTTTGTTTGTGGAAACATTCATCTTCCAAGCCGGACAACTGCCAGGGTCGAACTATTAATTTACCTTTTGGGGTATGTTTTGTTGGAGAAAACACGGTGAGTACATATCGGATATGTGTTCAATGTTGTTTGTTTGGAACGATGGTAAATGATTTGGGAGGATGATGCCCAGTGGCAAGAATATTTTTTGGGATGTGTTCAAGCACCAAACAGATAAGGACTTCAGTTGCAGATACCATCAAATGCACAGTTCCCAGAACAACCTTAGCCCCTGGCTTGAGGACAATTAGCCCTCCAAATGGTGTCTTAACAACCCCAACATGATCTACTTTTCATGATTTAGCAGACGGTTCTGATCTCGTCAACTGTGGAGATCCAACCTGTGAAGTTTGTTTGTCACCTATCCGCTATCCGATCCTATTTCGGCAGGAGACTTTCACAGTCCACCAAATGGTTCATGCTTGTTCCAAGTATAAGCTGATTGTGGGTTTGCTGTATCCGAGCAAGTTATGTGGTGCGAATCACCCACAAAATGGTGAGTTACCTCCACGGCGGTATCGTACGAGTTCGTTGGGATGTGCGCAGGCACCCAGAAAGATAGATTTTGGGATAAACATATGCTCAAAACATCATGAAGATGCTTGCAATTCCATATGTGTTTATCTGAAAAATGGGGCACCCCCAAAAATCAAGAGTCCCTTGGCTGCAAAGTTCAATTTCACCATCATGCAATGGCCATGAAATGGGTCTAGATTTCCCATTGTTGAACACATCCATCGTGTTTTGTCGTTCATGTAATGTCCCATCGTATGCCCATGTCATTCCTGCTATATCATGCTATATCCACATCAGCCAGTCTTCCATATTTGCACATTGTACATCATGTTTCCATATATATATATCATCATATGTACGTTCCCCGTGTTTTTCTTGGAACGGCTTGGAACAAAAAAGGGCCGTTGGAAGTCGTTTCAGTCACCAGGTGATCAAGTTGAAGGAAGTCATAAAAGATAAAAGTGGAACTGTGACAAAGCTCAAGTGCAGTTGGGCACCTCAGAGGATGGCCAGGAGGATGGCCATGATGGCCTGAAGAATGATGTGACCTCCAACCACCGTGGTGTTTTTCGATCATTTTAATTTACTACTAGTAGTATCTAATAGTTGTTAATTACGGATGTTTTGTTGTTATTGATGTTTTTTTTCAATAATGGTTCCAAAACTACGGAAAGATGACTATCTAACATATGAGATTGGTCATTCTCTAATCTCTTGTGCAGCCTGAGCTTGGACCTAGATTAGTCAAGATAGGGATGGAACTTGAAGAGTCACATAGTATTATGCAGGCCATCCCAAGCCTACTATCCACATCTATCCACCACTATGACTATTATGATTATTATCAACCACTAACCACTATTGTATTAGTATTGAATATGATTGATCTGATGGGTGGTTTTCAATCATTGATTGTTTTCAGCCATGTTTGAAATGATCCCCGCTGACAAGCGTAGTGTTGGGATGAAACCACCAATCAGCCATTGTTGAACTATTAAATACTATCACAATGTGGGGCCCCCCCAGTTATAAGTTGGTTTATAAACCCCATGAATACTATAGTTATTTGCGTACCATAAACCATAGTGAAATTGGAGTTATTTGCACCAACTGAACGCTATCCAACGGTGGCCCCACATTGTAGCATCTATTAACCATTAGTGTCTATGCATTCCTCTGGCTTCCCTTGAACTCCACAAACCGAGTTTCGGAAACGCAACGGCTGGAGACACAGCGTACCCGCGTACCCCTGGGATCCCCAGGGGTTTGTCGCTTCTGAATGCCAAGTTTTGGCCTTGAGGATCACCCATTTATCATGGATATCACGACCGAACCCTGTTCTCCCGAACCCTGGAACTCCTGGTTTATTTTAGGGAAATCATCCCCTTTTATGGCCTTAATTATTTAATTCAGGTTGGTGAAAGATTATAATTTACCCAGATATTTGTCAAAACCCATGCTTGTCTCGTTGATATTCCAGAGATCTTCACATAGATTTCACGGAGGACAAGCCATGTCAAGGCCATTGCAGGTACCTTTTTTTATGGAGGCATTTTTTCCATTGAAAGCCATGACGTTTGGTGATAAAAACTCCCATAAAACCCATAGGATCCGGCTGGTGCTGGTAGAAAAATGCTAACATGACTGGGTTTTTTGTGTATGGGATCCATGTCACCATTAATATAGCAGCACCGTTAGGATCCGTCATGGGTAATACATACATGATCCTTACAGTCAGACATCAAGTAACCGGTACCTGCATTGACCCCTTAGCATCCACTATTCATCCACTATCATCGACTGTTGATTATTATTATTATTATTATTATGTGTGTGTGTGTTTGGCTATTAGATATTAAATAATTCACATACTTAAATTCTATATTAACCATGGTTAAATACTACTACTATTATATAGCCATGATTAACCATCATATACTTATCATACACTCCGGGAGGTCACGATCCAGCCACGCGCGACACGATGCCTGCGGATCGCAAGCCCAAAGTCATCCACTGGGTCAATGCCAAGGCATTTTCGGGGAGCTGGGGCTTGGTATCTGCTTGGTGCCACAAAAAACGAAAAATATGCTTGGTGAACATCAAAAAAACAACGGCATAAGTTTTTTTTGGATGTGAAAATCCTGCAACAATGGCATTTTGTTTTGTGTGGGGATGGGGATATGTCATGGGGCTACCCCCAAATCATCCATGAAATAAAGAAGATTTTCATAGATTTTCCCATGGTTTCAGGTTGGTTCACCATGGATGGGACATCCAAAATTGGCACCAGATTTTCGCCAGGACTGTTTGGATGCCGAGGTGCGATGGAGCTGTGGATCTGGTAAACTGTCCCATAGCTATGGAAAGGTCCAATGAAAATCACATCAAATCCACCATTTTTAATGGGTAAATCCACCATGTTTTAATGGGTAAATCATGGTAAAACATGGTAAATCCACTATTTCTATGGCAAGGGCCATGAAACTCACATAGCTATGGAAAATTATCGCATCTAGACTAGGTGGATCAACTGTAAATGGGCCATCTATACCATAGCTATGTTAGTTTACCAGAGGCTATTGTGATCTGGTTGGTGGTGACTGGAACATGGCTGGATTATGACTTTCCATTCAGTTGGGAAGAATCATCATCCCAACTGTTACGAACTCCATCATTTTTCGAAGGGGTAGGTGGCGAAAAACCACCAACCAGTGATATTTCGTGAATATTCCTGGTGAATATTCGTGAAATGTGAGCATTTAGATGTATAGAAATCCCCCCAACTAAGACGATGACGCCATGTGTTGGGCGCTCACAAAAAACGCGGGAGTCGATCGCTCTATGATGTCTATGTTGTCTATGGGGGATGGTATCAGATACAGTTTTCACCGACTAACCCCAATGAATTCCCATGGAAAGTCATTCATAACTGGTACCATCAACTCATCATAATTCTATGTCCATGTTGGTGTTTGTTGGTGGAAAAAAGACTGCCTGTAGATGCCGAGCCCGCCAGGTGCGGTTGATCAATCCTCTGTTCCTGGCCATGCCGGATCCCATGCCGGAGGGATGCCTGGCATAACCTGGGCGGCAAGGAAGTGGGTTGTGGGTTGTGAATGTTGATGTCATGGGATTTTCCAGACTTATGTAGTCGAATCTCCAACTGGTTGGTGGTTTGGAACATGTTTTTCCATATATTGGGAATAATCATCCCAATTGACGAACTCATATTTTTCAGAGGGGTAGGTATACCACCAACCAGCCAAGAATTTGGATATCACTCTACAATGTGTTTCTTGATATGAAAATCCTTGGAGATTCCAAGGCATGTTTTCTTTTGGATTCATCTTAGGTGCGAGTGTACACACTTTTTGAACACCAGATCTTCACTTGTAGCAGCTAAAACCGCTTGGGGCACTGGGGCACACCAGATCAATGCTTGACTGGTACTCCAAGCCGTGTGAGTCCGACTGACCGACTGCGCCTGTGTTAAAGTACCGTCATCCAATGAACTTTTGTCATTGGAGATGGCACACTAGTACCATTCTAGTACCCATAGGATCCATGGTGCTGCTATATATGGTGACATTTACCATCCATATACCCCAGTCATGTTAGCATTTTTCTACCAGCACCGTTAGGATCCGTCATGGGGTATAGTCACCTTCAGAAGGCTTTAATTTATCTCGCTTGAGTTGCGCGCTGCCGCAATTTGGGGCTCTCAGATGTCCAAAAAGCCTTGAAAAAGGTATAGCTTCTCTTCATGATTCACCAACATAACCATAGTAATTAGCATATATAACCATATATAACCATATATAACCATATATATATACCCATATGATTTGTTCACCATGGATTTCTGGATATGGTGTCTCATGGGATGTTGCACCCCATGGTGCACCCCCATGGAACCAACTGGAGTCACACTTAACCATGGTATAGTCCAACGAAAAGGCTCAACGTTTTTTGCTAACCAAACAAGCTTTGTGACGTCCTGAGGAAAGGATTTCTTGGACTACATCAATCCAGAGGCGAAGCTTTGTGAAGCTGGTTTCATCCCAGCTTGGGCCACTAGAAACGCCATGGCATTTCCCATTGTTTATTGAACAGTTCACCATGGAAAGATCAACCATGCTATTAATAGGTGAAGCATCTATTTCGATTAGGGCCATGGAAAAACCATGGCGAACTGTGAATGTCATAACCAGATGGTATATAGGTGAAATCCTTCTCTTGCAGCCCCATGGTGGCACCCCATCACCGGAGATAAGTTGAACTCCCTTCCCCCATATGATAAGTTATGATATTAACCCCCCCAGAAACCATAGTTTTGTAGCGGATTTGCAGATATATTTGGCATTTGGCATCATTACAATGGTGGTGTTTAACATGAACTGGGGATGGAAATAGCCCTATTAGTTGTATATAATATATTATATATACATGTGCATATTACGTAGTTCAAAATTCTATGCATTATCGATACCAGATATATCTACCATGAAGCTTTGTGAAATATCAGTTCTCCCAATCCTACTGAAGCTCCAGGCCATGGTGAGATGTGCGGCCAAAGTGGAGAAAGCTTTGGGCAAACCTGTCCTGGAGGTGAGTCCCTCAGAGCGACAGAGGGGTCACCTCGGAGTTGATCGGAAGCCGCTTCGATACTTTCAACATTCTGGTAAACTGTCCCATAACTATGCTTTCCATGGAGCTGTGAAGCCTCTGGTAAACTGTCCCATAGCTATGGAAAATCAATGAAAATCACCATGCTATTAATGGGTAAATCCATGTAAATCCACTATGTTCTGCTCAGAAAAGAGGAGATGACCACCAATAGAAACTAGTCAGTCGCGTCACCACGAATTCTTGGTGGTTTTGAGTTTGATGTCAATTTTCCAGTTACCCTCTGGTAAACTAACATAGCTATGGAAAATGACCATTTATAGTGGATTTTCCCATTGAACATGGTGATTTTCTATAGTTATGTAAACGTTTACCAGAGGGTATGAAATATCTCGAGATATGCACAAGCTATGAGAAGCTATCAGAACCTCAGCTTCCGCTGGATCTCCCAGCTGCGATTGCCCTCCGCTGAAGGGTTTCCCATATAGGTTTCCTGGAGAAAAGGATGTGGCTGATGGCACTGGTCCAGAAATATCCCATGATTATCCCAGTTGTTTGGTGCTATGTTCCCATGGAGGATGATCATCCCCACGAAATTTCGGCTAGTAGAATACAATCCCATACAATAACTGGTTGGTGATTTCAAACATGTTTTCCATATATATTGGGAATAATGTTTTCCCATATTTTTCTGAGGGGTTGGTTGAAACCACCAACCAGATCATGAACCAATTTCGGGGTTTTCAAGACTGCTTATTTGTTCATCTTTCCTGGTCAAGATGATGCCGAACTGGTGGTTTTGAGTATGGATGGCAGGACCGCTACCAGTTTGAGCGTGTGGGCTATTTCGTGTCTCGAAGAATGGATTTTTTTGGGTACTTGGTGGCGAACTACCCACGGCGAGTTAAAGTGGGTTAGTTCACCCCAGTTTTTTGAGTGGATTAACCCTACAAAAATCCCAGTTGTAACTGGGGTGAACTACCCACTTACGAGCCGTGGGTAGTTCGCCACCAAGTAGTGATTCCGTGAGTCCCTTCAACTGATCATGCAGCGGAGAATATGATGAACCGGTGGATTTTTATATGGAGGTTCCCTGAAACAGGGGGTATCCCTAAATTAAATCATCCAAAAAATCATCCATTTATAGATGGATTGTCCATAGACCATCCAGCTATGGGGGTACCCCCATGACTAGTCGGAAACTCCCATAAAATTTTGCATACCATTGAGGTCCCCAATCAAAAGTCCACCGTTTAACGCTTCAAATCGTCTTTGCATCCACAAAAGCGAAAGTTTTTCGGAACACTGGGCCCATCTTTGGGATCGCAGTTACCCTTTGGTTATTTAACATAGCCATGGAAAATCACCATTTTTAATAGGTAAACCATCTATTTCTATGGGCCATCTATACCATGGCTATGTTAAATAACCAGAGGGTAAATCGTTGTATACTTCACATGAGAAACTACAGAGTCTAATCCAATCGGTTTGGAGTTAGCTACGCCATGGGCTAATATCGTTCATCGACGTCGGGTCGTGATGATCGCAGCACGCTTCAGGGTTCAATGTTCACTGACAATTGTTTCATGGGACATGTAGGATCTTAAAGATGCCTTATAAACCATTGCGGGAGATCAAATTTGAGTGAAAAGCACTGATAGGAAATTAAAGACATTTGATCTTGAGGTAAAATGTTTGTTTGTGGGATTGAGAATTGGGATAGGGAAACCCATGTCTGACCAATCCACGATGTTTGCACATTTTTCAGGTCGGTAGAATGGGTGTGCTGAAAAAAATAGGTTCCCCTTTAAAAAGAAAAGAATGGTCTGCAATGAAATTATCATAGAGTAGGGTAGCCTATATCTTCTGAGAAACCCAAGTGATTTCTTTGTTTGTTCGGCTCAACGCCGCCAGAAAAACCACCCAGCCATTTCTACGGTCTTCTATGCGTCGCTCGTTGATGGACCTATTGGCGATGAGACCCCAGAAATGGTCCGCTGTGAATTTTCCCAATGATCAGCAAGCATGAAATTCTGGGGTGCTTTGCAGCTTTGGGTTTTCTGCCGACGTTGACGTTGTTGAATGTTGTTGATATGTTTAAAGTTCATGTAAAGGTTGACGAAAAATCACTGAACTAGCGGCGTTGTTGTAGTTTTAGACCCAACAAAACACCTTATATAATAATTTTATATAATTATTGCACCAAATTTTGTTATCGATGTGTTTCCAATACGGATTTACTTACTGGCTGGAGCTGCTGGACAAGTCCTTGGGGTAGAAACCTTGGCCAAAAAAAGGCAGAGTAGGTGTTTCTGTGTGTGTGTGTTTGTTTGCCATATCTTTCCAAAAATGCATTTAAATGCATTTAAAAAACAGCTATATAATGCTATATATAATTATAGATATGTACATAATAGTCTGATCAGCTATAGGGTATATCCAAGATACAGCTATGCCCAAAGAAACCGAAGAAACAGAATGCATAAGCTTGTGATCTTCGTTGGTAACCACTGCAATGGAAATACTTAGAGACTTAGCTCCTTGGACTGTCATCCAAAAGTCTTGCTCCGCACTCAGTTGAGCGACCAAAGTCCGAACGTTGGATGATACTACTATTCGGTACATGCTAATTATACAATGGGTACTGGGTACAGCATTTTATTCTATCCATTTTAGGTAACCGATAACAACCTAACATCAGCCATTAAATATCATCCATGCTGAATGGATTACCAACCATATTAAACATTGAATATCTGGTGCATTTGGGATTTTGAAGCCATTCCTCAAGGACCCCGCATCCTGGGCCTGTCGGCAACCTTAGGCACCAGACTACGATTGTTTCAGTGAGCCCAAGAAGCTGTCCTTCAACCGTGACCTGGCGGCGTAATGAGAGCTGCCACTACCATGTCTCCAACTTGATAAGTTGGGCATGTGGATATCTGGTTGGTGGTTTGGAACATGAATTTGATTTTTCCATTCAGTTGGGAATTTCATCATCCCAACTGACGAACTCATATTTTTCAGATGGGCAGGTATACCACCAACCAGTAGTATACTGATCGTTAATATGAATATTGGTTAATAAATGTTAATCATTTAATGATTAATTATTATGATAATTGACAATAAGCAACAATAATGAAAAATAGTTTAGTCATGTTTAGTACCCCTCAACCATGCTCCAGTGGGATGTCGAGACGATGTCGAGACGACGACCCAGGTGTGGTGCCATTGAAAGAGAGCGCCGACAAGAAGAAGATCGAAGGAAAAGGTGGGCTTTGATGGATTTCGATGGAAAATTCCGGTGGAGAACTCCCAATTTTTTTGGGGGAAATCTGGAAAAAAATGCTGGATGAACTTCCAAATTTATGGGACATCTGCTGGGTTAACTCGAATTTTATGGGAATTTTGATGGATGCATTGGATTAACTCCCAAATGTATGTGAAATTTGCTGGCATTCTGCTGGATGAACTCGAAATTTATGGGAAATTTGGCGGATCAACTCAAATTGTTTGAGAACTTTGGTGGATTAACTCCCAAATGTATGAGAAATTTGGTGGATTTACTGCGCATTTATGGGACATCTGGTGGATTAACTCCAATTTATGGCAATTGGATGAAAAATATGATGATGCGTGATGATTTCAATGGATTTCAATGGGATTTAGTGGGGCTCAATGGAAAAAAAAGAATTGAACGAAATGGGGACGAAACCTACCATTAATGGCAACTTCATGAGGATTAACCAACAGAAATAGCGACATCTGAGAGAATATAATGGTGATATATGGTGATATATCATCAACAATAATGCTTTTTGGGGTCTGAACATGTGGGATACGTTACACTCAAGTAGTGGCCATCTGTGCATTTTTTTAATTGACCGATGGATTTATGGGTACCCTACCGAGACCACATGAGTGGTTCATAGGGTTGCTGAAAATTGGGGTAGCCCAAACTATATAAATGATTTATAACATATCCTGTGGCAATGGACCCCAATTTATAGATACTTGTCTTGTCCCCTTTAAACCTCCTCCATTCAATGGCCATTTCAGGATCCTAAATTGGAGACACCTACCATATATAAGGCCTATGTAAGGCCTATGTAAGGGAATATCCCCACAAAATATGGCCAAAAATATGGTACAGTACCTCCATCTTAGGATCCTGGAATTCCTATGGATCCATTTATTTGGCATTTTCCCTTGCCACGGATTCCCGGAAGATGTTAGCATATCGTGGAATGAACCTTCGTTTTCCTCCTGCAAGATGCTGCTCCCCACTTCTAAGTTCATTTATCACCCGCTATCACCCCATCACAGTTGTTGGATGTTATTTCACCAACTTAGCTAACATAAATTAACTAAATCACCATGTTGTTGGTTCAAACATTTTCAGTCACCATGTTCCATCATTTTTGATGATGAAATTCCATTAAATCCCCATGAAAAGCCTATAGTTTTCCCACTTGTGTGCACTAAAAAATCCTATATTTCATGGCTTCTTGCCGCTATACCTTTCTTTTTCGTTTCAGCGCTTGAGATCAGGGACGGCGAGCCGGAAAGAAGCGCAGCAGGCGCAACTGGCGGAGAAGGAACGGCTGCAGAAGATTCCCCCGGAGGAGCCGTATGCGCCAGCATGCGCTGCGTCGGATCCCACGGGTTTCAACATGTCAACTCGAGGGAAACCAATGGGATCGAATGGTGACAACAATTTTATTTTGAGAAATGGGGATGTCACCAGTTGTTCAGAGGTTTTTCATAGTTTTTCATGGGATATTTGAATATATTTGACCCAACTGCAATCGAAAGTTGGATTTTTTCGAAAGTTGGGATGGTCTAAGGTCATAGCCCATAGGATCCATGTATGCTATATATGGTGACATTTACCATCAATATACCCCAAATGTTAGCATATATGCCATACATGGATCCTATGGGTAGTGGGATGACATGGGATGACCATCCCATGTGATTCTCATGGATTGACCGTCCCTGGCTGCCTTGCTGTGTCCCAAAACCCGCAAGCATCGGCTCCACGGAGGGGATCCCATCGCGGAGATTGCGGCACAGCCGATCGCCGTAGTGAAAAAAAGGTTGGTTTTCGTTTGACGAATCATCATAAGTATGGTTATAATTATGGTATTATGATGGTTATAATTATGATGAATCATGGTTATTTATCTGTCTAATTTTGGATGAATTGTGTAATTCCTGAACAGAAACATACAGTTAAACAATATAACAATGACGGACTCCAACTGAACATGTGGGAGTATTGACAGAAAGTCATCCTGGAGAAGACAGAATATGGACATGTCAAAAAACAACTCAGTAAATATGATTGAAGATTCATGAAGATTCTATGTTCTATCATTTCTATCATAGTATTTACTTCAGGAAGACCAAATCAACTGAAATACAAGCGGCAAAGAATCACATGCTACGCCACTCGGTGTCAGGAGTTCTTCAAGTCGGAAAGAGGTGCGCCCTTTGCCGCACAGGAAGCCCAAGTGTTGTGCCTTCTTCAAATGTCCAAGTGTAGCAGCTTCAGCAAAAGTTCCAAAAAACAGGAAGAAAAGGGGAAGATCCCGCGAAAAAACGATCCCACTTAACTTTGCCTTATTCTTTTGAGTGAAAAATCGATCCTAACATGTTCTATCCGATTGGGGACTGATCGATTGATCATCCCGCCATGAAATTTGGGCCAAAACGCCATCTTACAACGGGTCATTCTCCGAGTTTATGGTGACATCAAGAAAAAATATGGTGTTTCAATGGGATTTCTTTGGTTTGTTGAGATGGTGTTGATGGAATAGTTTCCCGGAGGCACACCACTGGGGGAATCGATTCAGGGAATATGTCGATTGTTGGGGAACCCCGTAAGCTAACCCTGAGCAGCTCGAGGATACCAGAGGCACAACGTGTGGATCTCAACGTGTTGTTCTCCCGGCATTTCGTGCAGGAATTGACAGCAGCAAGAACTGCCAACAGCTGGCCCTTTTTGGGTGAGGTTCCTGTCAGGTTCCTCTCGATGTGTGCAAGGTGATTGCATACTTCTCGGAAGAATCATCATTGCGAGAATCACAGAAGTACTCGTACTGGCCCAACGAGCCATTCATCTCCAGTCTTTGGTTCAATCTACATGTTTGATCACGGCAGAACCCATTTGACCCCACCTCACACCTGGTTTATGTGACTGCCATGGCGTGATTTCATATATTGGATGATCGTTGGTATATACCCAGTATATCGCAGTTCAATAATGTGTGATATTTATACTTATAAATACTTATTATATGATATACACCGATGATGTTCACCACCTAAGAAGGTGTAAGTTAAGAGTTGTGAACTTCTAGCTATAACATGCTATAACTATAAGGTGTGTTTTTCAGTTCCCAAGGCCACGGGGCGTTTCTGGTAGATATATCGAACTAGTGGGGTTATAAACCAAGAAACATGACTAGGGGGATTCCAAGTGATAAGATTCCAATCATGGATGGTGCAATTCCATTGATAACCAGCAGTTAATCTCGTGAACATCCGATGAAATTCCCATGAATGGCACCATTCTCGAACCTCCAGTATTATAGACATATTAGAATTTCATGGTGAATTTCGTAAGTACTGACTGGATATACCATGATATGCCCTTAAACTTCATTTTAACTATGATCCACCAAGGGTAACCCCTACTTATGGTTGCCATCCATGACTCCGGTCATTCTCCATCCCCGTGGCGGCCCAACTCGGCCCTGCAGGTGCCGAGTTTTCGGCCTACGACGAACAGGGAGTGCCCACCCACGACAAGGAGGGGAATGCCTTGCCAAAGAGTGCCATGAAGAAATTGGCCAAGGACCGGACCGTCCTTAAGGGACGATAAGGGATGGGAGGTGGCCAGAACTTTTGTGCTTTTTCCCACCCCCAAAAAAGATGCCGGACAGCCGCCAGGATGGTAGTTGGATGATGTCTTCCACATATGGAAACCAGCTTTCCAACTTTTGAATCTCTTTTTGGGGGTTATGATAGGTAGATCGAACTAGTTCATGGCGTCTATCGACCGATGAGATGATGGCATGGGAGTTGGTGGAAGTTTGAAGTGGAGGCCTCTCCAAGAAAAATGATGGGTAAAGCACTGTGAGTCAGCAATCATTGTGGATGAATAAGTAAAACATCAAAACAGCACGAGACGACCTTGATCTTTTTTAGAGATAGCTCAGTCTCCCTCTCCAAATGAACATATATTCATAAGTAATCATAATTATTCATCTAAGGATCGAGTTTCCATTGCCATGTGAGATTGCAGAAAGGAGAAGGTGCGTTGCCTTAGACATTCTATGAAGCACCATCATACGTCGTATACGTGCAATGGTCACAGCATGAATTGTATAGCCATATGAGGGGATGGTCATCAATCCATTCATAGCGATTTATGATGGATTATCCATAATAAGACTTGCCCTTATCAGATGGAATATATGAAATCAGATAAACCATAAATATATACTATGTACATCGCCGTATGTACTATAATCAGATGACCATATAAATCCATATAAAGAATAATAATAATAATGATAATGATGATAATAATAATAATAATATATTTTAAAATTGTACTTCCCCTTTTAAGGTACGTCCATATAAAATCGTCCCTAAAAGGCCCGGTGTAACCGGCATCCAGGTCTTTGGATGAAAAGCCACAGTGTCTAGCAGAAGTTTGGGATCGGAGAATTTACTGCCAGCAATCCACTGAAATTGGCCTTACAGAGGATTTACATGGATTTCCTCCATATATATATACATATATATATATATACATATGTACATACATATATATACATACCTATGTATATATACATATGCGGAAGTTAAACTTCTGAGCAGGGGATCAAGTTCAACCAAAAAAAAAGACTTCACCACTTGCCACTTGGGGTGTATCCCACGGTATATTAAAATAGCGAACAACCATATGAAATACCACAGTTGTATATGGAATATTCCCAGTTTCTTGTTATAATATATATATATGAGTGTACATGTAACTATATGCAGCTGTATGTAAACTGCTTACAAACTAGGATGGGCATCAAAGCAGTCATCCCCATCATGATTGCGTGGTATCAACCCTGGTTTGAAAAAGCACTGGTCTGTGAAATTTGGGGACACTCCTTGTCAATAGCGTGTCCCTTTTGGGGGTAGTTTGCGGCATAATATGGCACAACATGGTTTATATATAATATGTCTATCTATACAATCTACAGATATGAAATCTCCTGCTAAAGCTCAACTTGAGGGATCAACCACCACAACCCCTTCTGGCCTCATAGGATTTGGAGAAGCAAAAGAAGCTCTATGAATCTTGGAAGGCTTCAAAGTGACTGGCTTCAAAGTGACTGGGTCACCACAGATGATGGTCTCAAAGGGTCTGAAGATTTTGGGACCCAACATGGAGGTTTCCGAAGTCAGGGGGTACCCCAAATCATCCGAACATTAAAGCATGACTTAGCATTGAACCCCATGGTGACTTGGGGATCCTCCATCTTAAACCCCGGAATGACAAATTTCATCGGAAAGATGAGGCAAAACCAGTGACATTGGGGGTAGACAGACCCACATGCTGGGGAATCAGTCCAAAATGGGGCCATGAATCAGATTTGGAACAACCATTTAACTATTTGTTCACCATTGGCACCTCAGAGTTTTGGAAAAGACTCGTATGGATCTACCTGGAGTCTGAATTGGACATAGTGGGATAGTTTTCGAATAGAGATCATATGAGGTGATGAAGAATGGTGCTATAGATCTCAATAAATTCCCATATCTGAATGGTTTCAACTTGAACAAAACTCACCAAAATCATCTAACATCTTTGGTTTGCGGATGTTTATTGGACACCGAAAGGACGAAACGGACTCGTCGGACTTTGAGAAAACGGGATCCTGTGGGGGATGGTTGTCATGGCAGGTTTACCACAGAAGAAAAAACCATCACAGTACCCTCTGGTAATTTCACAGTTAGCTATTGAAAATGGCCATTTTTAATTCATAAACCATCTATTTCTATGGGATATTCATGGGATATACCCTCTGGTAAACTAACATAACTATTGAAGCCATGGCCATAGAAATAGTGGATTGTGTCCCATTAATAGCATGGTGGATCTTTCCATAGTTATGGGACAGTTTACCAGAGGGAATGAAGAAAGATGATGGTCTCGTTTTGAACCGCCCAAGGGCGACGACAACGCAACTTCTTTTGTCCATGATAATATACTTTTTAGTGGTGTTCGACCATGTTTGTTGGGTTATTGCCCTGTGTTTTGCGACACTGGTAAAACAGCACGCAATATTTGTTCAGATTTGTTCAAGGTTTTTTGGTTGCTTGTTGATATCCGCATTCCGGCTAGGTGGTCCTGACAACATGGAGCATCCCCTCACAGATCCAGCCCCAGATTTTTCCTTAGGTGAGAGTTATTTCGCGCCGCGAAATCGCGACGTGAAACACCGATGCTGCGCCTTGATGCGTGGCCGATATACAGTTCCTGTGTACAGCAAGAAGCGGCGCGGACAAAAAGCATTGGACACCCAAGCCGTTCGGGAAAGTGGTCAGGGATCATGCTTAACCCATAGGATCCATGTATGGTATATATGCTAACATTTGGGGTATATTGATGGTAAATGTCACCATGTATAGCATACATGGATCCTATGCTTAATATGATCAGATGATGCAGTACCTGTTCTGAAAATTCATGGATTCTCGAATTGGACTTGTCATGACTTGACTACTTCTGGGTTTCAGAAAGGACATGTATCATCGTACCCTCTGGTAATTTAACATAGCTATTGAAAATGGCCATTTATAGTGGATTTTCCCATCAAAAATGGTGATTTTCCATAGTTATGTTAGTTTACCAGAGGGTAAATGATGTTGTAAGTTGTTGCGAAGACCGCAGTCAGGATGATGGTCAACCGGCGGCATCACCGTCGCAGCTGTTGCATGATCAAAACACCAACCGACCAGCCCAGCTGAAAGAAATCGCATCCCCTCGATGTCTACACCACCACCACTTCTGGAAGGATCAACGAATATCAAAGCGTTCATCTCAATCAAAATCAAAGCCGTAGGGATGACGCGTTTCACTCGATTTTTATATAGATCAAAAGTGGAAGAATCATTCCCTCTGTGACTGTCATATGGGTCGTTCGGCCCTCCAAACCTGAGGCGAGTAGAGCCTCTCCCAGCCATCATCCAGCCACACACCAGCTGAGAATAATTTGTCATTTCATGGTCCATGTTTTTTTTTGTTTAACTTCCTAAGTATCGCAACCCCGAAGAAGATAGAAGTTGGTCAAATCCTATGCTAAAATAGTATAAAACATGTATAAAACATGTAGCATATACCCTATGGTTATGACTAACATAGCCATGGAAGCCATGGCCCATAGAAATAGTTGGTTTACCCATTAAAAATGGTGGATCTTTCCATGGCGAACTGTTAAATAACCAGAGGGTAAATGATTTTTCTATCGTTTTGGTGGGTTACTGTACCTTACATCGCCGCCCATATAGCGATGTCGACCGTGGGGCGTATGGATGGCGCATTCTTCGTGTCCAGGCCGGTTACCGGTAGCGTTTTTGGCAGCGGCTCAAGGGTGTGGTTGTGTCAATGGCACACTAATTACTGGGGGTTTCTTAAAGTGATTGGTTTATTATAGGGTTTAATGAGAATGTATAGATGTGTACACTATCATTTACATATAATATATACATATATACAGTGTACATATTATGATACAATACTCACATATTGTACCATAATTGTTGGTTATGCGTGCACTTGTACACAATGAAGGAATATGTAGTATCTACATCGTTCTCCCTTTATACAACTGACAAATACAAACAGGTTTATTTGCCTCCTTATTTGTCACCATGATCTAACATGACTAGTACCTATCACACGGCTTTGAAACTATTGACCCGTGCAGCTTTGGGTCAAAGAGATCATTGGTGTCCATCATATCCATCCAGCGAGTAAGTTTCAAATATTTATTTAGAAATATTTAGATGTGTTTGATTTCCACTCTCCATCTCTCAAAGAGAGTTTGCTTGCAAATAGGGTACCCCGAAAGCCTTAAATCATCTTAAATCAGCAGGTTAAGGTTAATCTTTAGGGGGGGTACCACAGTTTTCGACCTTAAAATGCCGAGTTCACCGGCAGACCAGATGCTAGTGATGGCGTGTGATGGCTATCAGGGTGGCTCAAATTGGGGACATGGTAATCAAGTATTACCATGTAATCAGGAATGCAGAATGATCAACCTTTCCCAAATAGTGTGTTTTTATGGTCGATGATTTATTTCATCAGCGGCTATTAGCCCATTTTTTGACTTGTGGATCGCACATCGTAGTTATCTCCGAAAGGGAGAAGAGTAAAACCATCCTAATTTGATGACACTGTTTTTCCCCACCAGGTGGGGGTCTCTAGATTTTAACAGAGGTGCTGGCCCCCAAACTCCCTCACCTCCCTGGTTCACTCTCTCACTGACCCATTAGTGCTTCTCTCCTCGCGTTTTTTTCCTTCTGCTGTCTACCTAGTCAGCCCTAGTCCTCACTCCCTCCAGAAGCTTATGGCGAGCTGCACAGACCTAGCCTGTGGTCAGCTCCGGAAGCAGCTGGGCCCGCATGGACCCGAACAGAGACCAGAAAGTAGAATGATACATAGAACGTGAGAATATATGTAAAATACAATGCCAGATAGAATGTAAAAATATTTGTCAGATCTCATACCAGACCGAATGTCAGATAATATGTCAGTTAGAATGCCAGATAGAATGCCGGAATATATGTCAGATAGAATGCCAGAAAGGATGCCAGATACAATATCAGAATATGTTAAAGACAATGTCACTGGGGATCACTCGAAGAACGTGATTTTTTTTTGAGGGTCACTAGGTATCTAGGTGACATGTCCAAATAATCATTCCAGCAGTTGGGTCAAAACCTATTACTACCATATTTGGGGGAATAACCATCCATTAACCAGCTATTTTAGGCTATCGAGGGTATCAGGGTTTTGACCCATCACCATCTGTGGATATCACGAAGATACCAAAGAGTGCATGGGGAATTGTCCATCCAGCCTGGCAGTTTGGTCCCCATTTTTTCACCATGAAAACTGCTGAGTGTCGAAGTGTCCCAGTTCGAAAAGTGGCTAGATTTCACCTAATATCTTTTTGGGGTTTGCTGGATATCCCAACAAACATGGGGGTTTTCAGCAATTCCCATGGTCATACCTACGTGAATAATGTGAATATAATTGAATATATATATATATATGACTTTATATAACCATATAACCATATTTATACACCTTATCCCCCATATATAAGCCTGTAAATACCATTTTTTTAGTTATTCACCTCATCCCCCAACTTATGGGGCTTCACCATGGTATGGCTACCCATCTTCTTGTGACCGCAGGACGGAACTCCTGGGTTGGCTGAATGCCAGCTTTCAGCTGGCCCTCGGTGACCGGTGATGGGTCTACCTTTGGTAGATACGTTTTCCAATGGAACATGTAATCAGGGTATAGTAGCATAGTATCCAAGTAAGAGTATAAGAGTATGGCCATGGTGGCTTCGATAATGTGTATATATCATATACTGGTTGGTGGTTTGGAACATGGCTCATATTGTTCCAGACAGTAATAATAACCCCAACTGACGAAGTCACATTTTTCAGAGGGGTAGGTATACCACCAACCAGCTATGATCAATGGTAAAATGTCACCAGCTAAAAAAACATGATGTTTTTGCGGGTATCTAAGATTCACCATGATTTTTGTTACTTTTGAAGCATAGGAATGGGATGATTGAGATTAGATGGGTTAAACCACCAACCTGATAAGATTAAACTGTTAAACAAAAAAGATGATTTCAAAAAAGGAGAAACCTTGAAGATCTTCGTTTTAGAGTGTTTCAAAAACAAAAAATGATCAACAGATGATTTGTTCATCTGGCTGTAAACAGAGGATAGTCACTCCTCCCATGAATGTGTGTTAATATACTCATTGCAAGGAATCGCATTCATGATGCTGGGATGGCCCCATTCATACCCCATATATCAATATATATATATAGTTAAGGGCGGTCGGTAGGCAGTGTTCCGCGCGGATGACTTAGTAAGCAGAAAAGGTACACATAAGTACCCCCATGAAAGCAAATTCTGAGGTACACTTCTGCCTACTGGGGTGCCTTTGTTTATATGTTGTATATAGCGGAATCTGCCTACTGGTGCCGGGGTTCCCACCATTGTGTATATAAACAGATTGTATCTACCTCAGAATTTGCTATCATGGGGGTACTTAAGTGTACCTGCCAACTAGATGGGCATGTGGCACTTTTCCCAAAGCCCTCCATCCCATACTACACACATGAAAAAGGTCCATCTACCATGGAAGGTCCTGGGGGTGGCTTTCTCCCTGTGCAGGGAATTCTACGTCTTTGCTAATTCTATCAGGATTGCACCATGACTTTGGTACATTTTTTTCCGGGGAATTGGCTGTTGCACTGTTCAAAACTTTGCCCAAAGCCTTCCATGCCATACTACGCACATGAAAAAGGCCCCTTTTACTATGGCAGGTCCCCAAAGATATGAGATATCATTGGTATCGTCGACAAAGGGCTGAAGTAAGCAGATCCACGATCTGCTTACTGGGGGTGGGTTTCTCCCTGTGCAGGGTTGTTTTTGCGTTGGGTCAGGCTAAATTCTGTGTCTTTGCAAGTTTTATCAGGATTGCACGGTTATTTTGGCACTTTTCCCGGGGGAATAGGCTACTTTCACTGTTTTCTTGCGTTGTGTTCAAGCGCATGCAAAAAAATGTGAAACTAGCCCGTGGCTTGTGGCTTTTGAACGTACCTGTTCTTATCCATTTTCCTTGTGGAAAACGTTAAAAAAAAACAGATCATTCACACAGGCATCTTGGATTTCTGGCTTTTAGCGGCTCAATTTCCCCAATCAGTCCCTGCCACTGCAAATGGCTCTCAAACGTGATTTTTCTCAAATGCTGATGAACGCCAGGAGTAAGTGAGTAAATGTTTTCAAAACTGCGTATTTTTTTGGCCAAGGCCCCTCATGTCGCCCTACTACGCACATAAATAAATCCATCTACAATGGCAGGTCCCCAAATGTATGAGATATCGTCGGTATCGTCGACAAAGGGCTGCAGTAAGCAGATCCACGATCTGCTTACTGGGGGTGCAAGGTTGTTTTTGCGTTGGGTCAGGCTAAATTCTATGTCTTTGCCAATTTTATCAGGATTGCACGGTTATTTTGGCACTTTTCCCAGGGGAATAGGCTACTTTCACTGTTTTCTTGCGTTGTGTTCAAGCGCATGCAAAAAAAATGTGAAACTAGCCCGTGGCTTGTGGCTTTTGAACGTACCTGTTCTTATCCATTTTCCTTGTGGGAAACGTTAAAAAAAAACAGATCATTCACACAGGCATCTTGGATTTCTGGCTTTTAGCGGCTCAATTTCCCCAATCAGTCCCTGCCACTGCAAATGGCTCTCAAACGTGATTTTTCTCAAATGCTGATGAACGCCAGGAGTAAGTGAGTAAATGTTTTCAAAACAGCGTATTTTTTTGGCCAAGGCCCCTCATGTCGCCCTGCTACACACACACAAAAAATCAATCCACAATGGCAGGTTCCCAAATGTATGAGGTATCGTCAAGAAAGGGCTGCGGTAAGCGATCCACGATCTGCTTACTGGGGGTGGGCTTCTCCTTGCGCCAGGTTGTTTTTGTGCATCTAGTCAATTTTTATCAGGACTGCACCATGATTTTGGCACATGTTTTAATTATTTTCTTGCTACTTTGAGGCTGCAGGAACAGAACAATGTTTTTTTGGATGAAATGCCCTTCATTCACAAGGTTTTGATGGTTGTATGAATGGGTCCCCACGTGGACATGCATTTTTGTGGCAGCGCCCATCATGACGAAATCAGTTGCATGTTCACAAGATGGGGCCACGAACTGGACTGAGGCGTTGTCTATAATTACATGTCTATGTAATTCTATGTATATACTCTTTATATCTTCAATGGAAAGGAGGTGCAGTAAGCAGAAACCACAAAATGTTTCGCACACATCTGAGGTACACTTCTGCCTACTACCCCTGGTTGTCTAAAACCTGCGAAAATAGCCCCCCGACGAACGTGCTAAAAACACCCCAAATCGGACACATTTTTAGGCAGTAGTAAGCACTAAATTTCACGCCTACCGGGTGACCTTAACTATATATATATATATTATATTATATACACCACATCAAGTTCTCTACTAATCCCATGAAACACTTAATATGTATCTTAAGATGTCGTGATATTCCAGATATTCCCATTGAATCCCATTGATATATACTTTACTATCCCCATCATTTCCCATGGATTCTTGGTTGAATAGCCATGACGAACGGTTCACCGAGGTTGAGCCTGGACAAGGTGCGTTGAAACAAACGGCCATTTTTTTGGTGGTGATTTCATGATCTGCGAGGTAGACGAAATGTAAAACACGATCTGTTTTTTTTCTCGGGTCAACTAACAGATTACCCTAGGGTAAACGTTTACAGAAAGATGTGGACAACTTAAATGGGTTTCCGTTCGGAACATGATCTACATTCATAGTGGATGTTCTACAGCGATGTTAGTTTACCAGATGGTATCGTTATACCATGTTATACCCAAAGAAAATGTATTGTTCGAGGAAAATGATGATTCAACCATCGAATTTTGGTATATATCCTATGTTCAGACAAACCAAGTTGGTTTCACTCAAATTCTTACAGTACCCTCCCCAGGTGTATGCTCACATCCCTCGTTAACGAAGCAATGGCAAAGATAATTTTCGCAGGGAATGCGCCAGAGTCACAACCTTAAGTGCTAAGATATCCAGCTATGAAAAATCTATATTGGGCACATTTGGTGGGAAGTGACGTGGGTTAAAATCCCCCATTTATATCCATTTATTGGCCATATTATATAGCCTCCAGCAAATTGACAAAATGGCATTGAAAACCCACCTAGATTGTTTTTCGAACGGGAAACAGCAGCAGGCTCCCTATCTACAGTATGTTAATTTACCTGAAGTTAGATGATATCACATTCTATACCCTCGTTATATTCCAGTATGTGTCAATCCCAGTGAATGGTTGTTTTGGTCCTCATTCTTTGGTTTCCATCTGAGCAAGAGGCTAAACTCTCCGTGTAGGAGGTATGTATTCGAGCGCTCTCGTATGTAAAAATATGCATCTTGATATGTAAAACGATATAGTGAAGTCCCAAAAACGATAACCTGGGAATCATATTATATGTAAAAGCATTGTGGGAAGTGAAGGGGTTGTGTACATGACATGATGGTGGATACCTGTTCTATAAGCATGTAGATCATCTAGGCTCTCAGTTATGGGGTACACGTCATGCCCAGCTCACACTACGGAAGATGTGCAAAAGTATGCTGACACTCTTGATCCTGGCCAATTTCTTTATTTCTGATTACTGCAAACGGTTTTGTATCCAATCACGTATTGTTGTGTGGTAACTAGCTGGATTTGGATGCTCTTTTTGTCTCGCCATTGTTCAAGCCTTTCGGATGAGTTCCGCGCTTTCATGCAAGCTGTGACGATGACAACAGGTATCCTTTCCAACTTTCCTTGGTTCATGCCATTTTCCAAAAAATGTTTCCCTCTTTGAACGATAACGAAAACGATAACTAAACGATAACCATTTCTTGACAAAATGCCCTTCGCTGATGGATGGCCCAGATGCCAAAAGATTCTTGAGACCTTTGCCGTTTAATATTATCACTTGCTCATTGCGATCTTTTCGCTGCTATGCATATTCTTTTGCAGCGCTCCACTGCTTTAGTCAATCCCGGTTCATCTCGGGCACAACTGCACCTGCAGGTCCTGTTTGACGATCTTTATCCTAGATGAAGATAGCCAAGGCAAAGGCGTTGGACCAGGTCGATGGTTGGCTGCGCAGACGCTGGCGAGTGAATGAAAGGCATGGAGCATGTCGCTGTGAGAGCCCACCCGGGTTTCCTCCAACAAACTGAATTCAAAGCTTGTTTCTGAGCTGGAGAAAGGATGGTGCAACTGTGATTTGCAGTTGCGTTGGCAGGTATCACACCACACCCACCATACAGTTGAAGCGCTGGAAAAGAAAGCGCAGGGCAGTCAAAGATGCCTAAGACGCGAAGTGGAGGTGTAAAAAGGCTTTCCACATGCAGTTTGCCACGGGATGCGGATGATGCAATCAGGATATATTGTAAAACGATATAGTGAAGTCCCAAAAACGATAACTTTGCCCCGAGATCGCATTTTTCAATTGAGGTTTTGCCGATCGCTCATCTATCCATTCATTAGTTGGTCATGAATCCTAATTTTTGTTGCTTAGCCTTTTTTCACCATAAATTAAATGTTGGGTAAGTTCAATGTGCACTAAATACTGTTTGCTTGGTTAAATCCACAATACATCCCATTCATTTGCTCATGGCTGGTCCAATTTGTGTTGGTTAAATCTTCATGTTCTGTGAGCCGCCCGTTTCCTCGTTTTTCTTGTTTAGATTCCCCACGTTTGGTCACTTGTTTGATGGTTTTAGTGAGGTTAAGGTGAATCCCTTATAGATAATTTTGAGATCGTAAAGGGTTGTTAAATGCCCAAAACATGTGTTTAGATTCTTTTAGATGGTAAATTGTTCTTAAATCCCCATGGTTTGTAGAAAAAAAATTGTTAAACTCTGTTTAACCCTACAATGTGGGGCCCCCCAGTTATAAGTTGGTTTATAAACCCCATTAACTATAGTTATAAGTACCATAAACAATAGTTATTGGAGTTATAAACCAACTTAGCTTTCTTAAATTCCCATGGTTCTTTTCCAACATCAGCGAGTTCCCGCCAACATCGGTTCAGGTGGAGCAGTGTGCCAACGGTGCCGTCTACTGCCAGATCATCGATGCCTGCCATCCGGGCGTCACCTGGCGATCTCTAGAGGGGAAGATGTTTTAATGGGATTTTATAGTGATTTGATGGGATATTATAGTATATTATAGTGATTTAATGGGATTTTATAGTGATTTGATGGGATTTTATAGTATATTATAGTGATTTAATGGGATTTTATAGTGATTTAATGGGATATTATAGTATATTATAGTGATTTAATGGGATTTTATAGTGATTTGATGGGATATTATAGTATATTATAGTGATTTAATGGGATTTTATAGTGATTTGATGGGATTTTATAGTATATTATAGTGATTTAATGGGATTTTATAGTGATTTAATGGGATATTATAGTATATTATAGTGATTTAATGGGATTTTATAGTGATTTGATGGGATATTATAGTATATTATAGTGATTTAATGGGATTTTATAGTGATTTGATGGGATATTATAGTATATTATAGTGATTTAATGGGATTTTATAGTGATTTGATGGGATATTATAGTATATTATAGTGATTTAATGGGATTTTATAGTGATTTGATGGGATATTATAGTATATTATAGTGATTTAATGGGATTTTATAGTGATTTGATGGGATATTATAGTATATTATAGTGATTTAATGGGATTTTATAGTGATTTGATGGGATATTATAGTATATTATAGTGATTTAATGGGATTTTATAGTGATTTGATGGGATATTATAGTATATTATAGTGATTTAATGGGATTTTATAGTGATTTGATGGGATTTTATAGTATATTATAGTGATTTAATGGGATTTTATAGTGATTTGATGGGATATTATAGTATATTATAGTGATTTAATGGGATTTTATAGTGATTTAATGGGATATTATAGTGATTTAATAGTGATTAATGGATTTTATAGTGATTGATGGATATTAAGTATATTATCGTGAATTCAATGGGATTTATAGTGAGTTGATGCGGATCTTATAGGATATTATAGGATTTATGGGATGTTATAGGATTTGATGCGGATATTATAGAATTATATGATTTAATGGATTATAGTGATTTGAGGGATATTATAGTATATTATAGTGATTTATGGATTTATCGTGATTGATGGGGATATTATAGTATATTATAGTGATTCTAAGGGATTTTATAGTTGATTGAGGGGATATTATAGTATTATAGTGATTTAATGGGATTTTATAGTGCTGTGATGGGGATATTCTAGCTATATTATAGTGATTTTAATGGGATTTTTATAGTGATTTGATGGGATATTTATATATTATAGTGATTTAATGGGATTTTATAGTGATTTGATGGGATATTATAGTATATTATAGTGATTTAATGGGATTTTATAGTGATTTGATGGGATTTTATAGTATATTATAGTGATTTAATGGGATTTTATAGTGATTTAATGGGATATTATAGTATATTATAGTGATTTAATGGGATTTTATAGTGATTTGATGGGATATTATAGTATATTATAGTGATTTAATGGGATTTTATAGTGATTTGATGGGATATTATAGTATATTATAGTGATTTAATGGGATTTTATAGTGATTTGATGGGATATTATAGTATATTATAGTGATTTAATGGGATTTTATAGTGATTTGATGGGATATTATAGTATATTATAGTGATTTAATGGGATTTTATAGTGATTTGATGGGATATTATAGTATATTATAGTGATTTAATGGGATTTTATAGTGATTTGATGGGATATTATAGTATATTATAGTGATTTAATGGGATTTTATAGTGATTTAATGGGATATTATAGTGATTTAATTGGATTTTACAGTGATTTAATGGGATTTTATAGTGATTTAATGGGATATTATAGTGATTTAATGGGATATTATAGTGATTTAATTGGATTTTACAGTGATTTAATGGGATTTTATAGTGATTTAATGGGATATTATAGTATATTATAGTGATTTAATGGGATTTTATAGTGATTTAATGGGATATTATAGTGATTTAATTGGATTTTACAGTGATTTAATGGGATTTTATAGTGATTTAATGGGATATAAATGGGATATACCCTCTGGTAATTTGTTACGTAGCTATTGAAAATGGCCATAGAAACAGTTGATTTACCCATCAAAGGTGGTAATTTTCCATATCAAACTGTTTGTTTACCAGAGTGTAATGTGGGTAAAACAACAATAATTAAACCATCCCCCAGTCATCACCATAAAATATATAGGCGCTATGTTTACCATTCCCGGTCATGGGTGGTTTATTGTTGTGTGACCCACATTAAAAAATCTTCCCCAACAAAAACACAAGTTGAATAGGGAGAATAATTTTAATGGATTTAGGGGTACTATATTTTGCAGACAAACCTGATGCAAAACCTGGTCAAAACATGGTCAAAACATGGTCAAAATATAGGGAATATGGATCCGTATGGTTGGATTCCCAATATGGCCAATATGGGATGGATGACAATAAACCATGATGACCATGATGTCATTAGCTCTTGATGTGGATCATGTGGATCACCACAAGTTTTTCCTCATCGTTTTTAAACACCTACCAATGGTGTTTTCACACTCTACATCAGTTAAGGATATAAATGGATATAACCAATCTATACCAATCTAGCAGAACATAAGTCTGAGTGAATTACCAAAATCTCACTGCGATGTCACTGGAATGGTGAATGTTCGGGTAGCTATCACCATGGCAGAACATATTAGGTTGGTGAATTCATGTAGTTTATCCAGATATAATATATAGGACCATATAGGATATTATGACAATTATGGGCTCACCATTGCTACAATCGGGATAGGATTCTCAATGGTTGGTGGTTTCCAGGTGGTTTCCTGGTGGTTTCCATATCAAAACGAGTATCAAATCATATACTTTCCATTGAGAGGGTACCCACTTTCTCATCCAAAGATGGGCCACGACTCTCCCGGCTTTCTGTTGGCCGAGGCTGTGAACATGAAGAAGGTGAACTGGTCAGTGCGGGAGCACAGTAGACCTGGGCTGCCCGAGGTACGGCAGTGGCCATGGCTGGGCAAAAAACATCTACAAAAAGTGGGGGAAAGCGTCCGACAAAAAAGGGATCCGAGTGGGAGATTTAGATCACTCCAAACTGGATGTATACTGGAGATATGTTTTAGAAAACCGAATGACAACAGCTTGTTGTGGGTGAAAATTGTCCCTTACGCCACGCCCAGGCGAGGGATGAACATCAGTGCATCCCCAACTACAAGGCGCGGTCGTTGCGGTCGTTGCGGCCGTTGTGGCCGTTACCGTTGGTGACTCCCAGCCCCACCAGATGGGTCATGTTTTTTATGATTGAAGAATGATAAGAAGCTCGAGACTCAAGTTTTTTTTGTTTGTCGTGGTGATTTCATTGCTAGGCAATGTAATGATTAGGATTTTAGAGGCAGGCGGGTAATGTAATGATACTGTGTATATACGTGTATATTATATATATATATATGTGTACACCATTGAATTTATTGTTATTGTTATCGTTTTTATTACTATACATTATATTATACAAAGAGAATGTTTACAAATATTCAATACTCTTAACATCACAAAATTCAAGCACGGATATCGTAAATACCTTCCTAATTGGAATATTTACATGGCGCAGCCAATAATTTCACCTTTGGGACCAGGGCATTGACCAGCCAGCATTCTGATTTCAAAATGAATGGTGACACAGGGACTTGACTGGGGTATCACTTGGATAGTAGGGAGTAACTATCCCCCATTGATCGCCGAACTTGTATGGCTACTGACCTCTTTTTGCTTTTCCAAGAGTGTTTTATTCAAAAAAAAAAACTATAGTTAAACCTAGTTCAACCATGTCCATGTTGCACTAGCTGTTTAACATGGAGAAACATAGAGGAACATGGTTTAACATAGTTTAACATAGTTTATTAGCATGTGTTGGGTTTCCCACACTATAAACCATTGTTTTTTGGATGGCCCAGGTGCTCCAGCAAGCTTTCAGCAAGGTGGGCATCGACCGACACGTCGAGGCGGGACGTTCATGGGGCAAGTCATAGGGATGAAGGCATTTCATAGGAAAAATGGGTGGATATATGGTGGATTTATGGTGGATGTATGTGGATTTATGGTGGATGTATGGTGGATGTATGTCGGATTTATGGTGGATGTATGGTGGATTTATGGTGGATTTATGGTGGATTTATGTCATTGCACGCGGGTTCGGGTACACGCGCGCACCCTGAAAAGCGTCAAAGCCGCAAAGCCGCAAAGCCGCCATGGAACGCTCAAGCCGCAAAGCCGCAAAGCCCCCACTTACATTCTGCGGATTTTTATAACATGTTATGTTAGTTAAGGTAGTTACTAACATGCATCTAACATGAATGTAACATAGGTCTAACATGGTTGTAACATGGTACTAACATTTTTTTTGCATGTTGTTAGTAAAAGTTGCAAAAAGTTATGTAACATCTTTAACTATCTTAAAATTTTAAAAAGTTAGACCTATGTTAGCCATATGTTAGTAAAAAAATCTTATTTTTTTAGCTAACTTTTAAACTTGTTTTTTTTTCTAGCCTGCAATAGTCCATAAGCACTGTGAATCAAGGTACTGGCATGTGTCAAGCACTGAAAACCTGTCATTTTGGCCAAGCAGCAGAAGCTTTGCACTGCAGTATTGGTCAGCCCAGCATGCCAACCTTTGTCCAAAACAGTGGCAATACATTGGCTAATGTTAGAAAGGGCTGTCATACTGTTTGAATTTGGGTGTGGCATAGGAGCAGCCTGGACAAGACTAACTTCTTGTTATAGCCATCGCCATTTTTTGGCAATTTACAGCAAACCAATCTTGGCTGATAGCAATTTTTGGCATTTCTTTCCGCTTTCCTTTGGAAGCCAAGTTACCATTGGCCAAAGCCATGTCATGCTTACAGGTGCACCATGGGTGAAAGATTCATTTTCACCAACCAACATGGAGATGTAGTGGAGCTGGATCCAACAGAAGACTCCCAATGTGTGCTTGCCATCAATGGCATTCCAAGTGAATATGCCATTCGCAACAGGATCAATGTGCAGCCTTTGCCAGACCACATGCTGCCAAAGCCAGGAGGAAATGACACCATGCCTACCATGGTGCCAAGAGTTGAATGAAGAGCAAGCCCATCCAGTGGAGCCAACAGCCACACCGAGCCAGGAAACAAGACCCAGCTTGAAAAGGAAGTCTGCCACTGCCAATTTGGATGACCTGGAGCTTAATTAAAAAGCCAATTGCCAAGATTCAATGGGTGCTTCCACCCATGGCATGAGTGCATGGTGCAGCAAAATTGCGTGCCATCTTTGCTGATCCTGCATGATGCCATTTCTGGAAATGAGTTTGCATTTGTTTGGCAATTGCCTTAAAGACATGCTTGGGAATTTCATTACCATGCTTTGGCAATGCTGACACATTTCCATGTGCTAGCCATTTTTGGCAATGCTGACATATGCCCACCTATGCAGCCATTTTTGGCAATTTTCATTCCAGCTGCAAAGCATCTGCAAGGCTTTGCCCAAGCCAAGTCTTTAGGCCCACAGCAGCCATGGAAGTTACAATCCAAACATCAGTGGCCATCAAGGTTGGTGATGAGAAAGCCATTTCAATTCCACCAACCTTCTTGGTGGAACATGATGGCCGCTCCTTCTTGAAATTTAGGCCCACAGGGTACCAAATAGTGCACTTGGTATGTGGCTGTGACATGCCCAAGAACAGCAGCTTGGCCAATTCCATGTCTTTGGACCAATTGCTGAAAAAGAGAAACCACGAATGGCTGAAACCCAGCTGTGGCCAAGATGTTTTCCAGGAGGCTGACCAGAAGCCAGGGAGAAAGAGGAAGCAAATCACCAACCCAGAGCTGATCACCATAGATGTCAATGGCCAAGCAGTTGAATGCCTCATGCAAGGCCAAAGGCCAATTAAGTCAGACCTGGCCATTCCGTTGGTTCCAGAGCAGCTCCAAGCTGTGCTGAACTATGTGGCCCAGGATGCGAAAGAAGCATTGAGCATCAGAAGGGCATACAAGAAGGCCAAATCTGCACCAACAACTAAGAGGTCCAATGGAGAAGACCAAGAAGGAGACCAGGCTGATGAGTGAAGGGCCATATAGGATGCTTTGGCACATCTGCAGGCACTATATAGAAGAAAAAAAAGCTTGCTTGCCATCATTATACCAAATGAGTTTTTGGCTGTCTTCCATGCCTTTTATAGGAATCAAAGAGCAGTGTTGGGCAATAGCCATCGTGGCAATTTATTGTCCATTGGTGAGCCATGTTTGGGAATACAAGGGGTGCACCAGTTGGAATAATCCATTGCAACCATTTCCCTGGGTGCTTGTTGCTGCTGCCTTGCATGGGCTATGGCCACAGCACCATGGCACACACACACACATCAGAAATCCATGCAGGCATGGCACACTTCAATTACACATGTTCTGAAACATGAACATTCACAATGGAATTGTCATGACAGGCCATGCCCATCAGCTTTGAAATTTGCTGAAGCCTGTGGTTGCCATGGCCCAGCCACAGCAAGGAACCAGACTGCCACCTACAGTTGCTAGCAAAGTCAATGAGGTCATGGACTCCCAGAAGCCAATCAACACACAGGTGGACCAAATCATCCAAGTGTTTCCCAGAATACAAGCCAGTAGAAAAGTCCCTATCTCCAAGTCTGCAACCAGTAGCCAATATACAGCTTCCACCAGCTATCAAAGGAACTTCAGAAACCATTCAAACAACTTGAGCCATTTTTGGCAATGCATTTTGAACATGTGTATTTTTGGGTGGTATCACACCTAAGCAATTTATGGCAATCCCATGCCATTGCCCAAATATGCCTTTTATTGGCAATCCAAGTGGGACATGGGCCATTTTTTGGCACTGCATGGCATGTAAAGACAAAGGCAATTTTATGGCAGTTCATAATGTGATTTCATAGCCATTGTACAATATACATCCTGCATGCTGCAGCCAAGTGTCCAAGAGAAAGCCCAGCCGCCCACTCCTTCAGCCCAGACCTAAGAAAACCCAATGGCTGTTCTGTCCAAGCCAGCTGCTGCCACCAAGACCATGGGCATGAAGGCCATGAAGTCCAACAAGACCATGAAAGCCATGAAGGAAGGCCATGGCAGCCATGAAGGAGATCAAGGCCATGAAGGGCCACAAGGCCAGAAAGACCATGAAAGTGATGAAGGCCATGAAGGCCACTAGGCCCATGAAGGGCATGGGTGCCATGGTGCCACCTCCAGGCCCATCAGTGGCAGTGATGTGCCAGAACAGGAAGCCATGGGTGTGGATGTGGAAGCTTTACCAGCTTCCACACTGCACCAACTGCAAGGCACCATGGAGGGATTCCATCCCAGAAGGTGTCCACCAGAGGGCTGGTGCCAACCCAAGCAAGCCCATGGAGCCCCAGACCGCCAAGGCCACCAAGACCAAGGATGCCACTGAGACCAAGGCCACCAAGAAGCCAGCCAGCAAAGGTGGATCCAGCCATGTGAAGACCATGAAGGCCAAATGAGGGGCCCAGGCCATAGCTGCCATGAGCAATCTTCCATGGCCACTCCAGACCAGAGCAGTTTGAGATGGGAAAAATGCGTCCAAAGCCTGTGCATAGACACCTTGCCATTTTTTGGCAATTGCATGAATGAAATCTTGCCATTTTTGGCATTTCCAACCTTTTTGGTGAGCTACAAGTGTGGCCATTTTTGGCATATCCAATCAACATGCCTTTTTTGGCAATACATGCATATGCCAACACATGTTTTTTTGGTTCATATAAAGTTATGTTCACTTTATGCTCACATAACTGGCCATGTTTTGGCAATGTGTACATATATCACTATGACTAGGTATTATGAATCTAACCATGCCATAAGTTTCCCAAATTCAAGTTTCTGAAATAAATGTGTGTTGTTTTTGTTACTGCGTTTGTTTGTCCAAGTTATTTTTGGATTTTAGTATATATTGTGTTTATCAGAAGGTAGTTTTTATTGCACTTAAAGGCATTCTAGTTCATTGCTGCCATGTGTAAATTGACGCGACTCCAAAGTTTAGCCAATGTTTTCACAAATATTGTTTTATGAAATATGCCTAAACAAAAACCAAAACTATTCAGGTGCCACTGTTGCTTCAATATTGACTTGAAGTACATGTGGCAAGAGAAAACCATTTGCAGTTAACAATTCCAGTTCTTTGCAATAAATGATTACTACCATTAAGTGTTTAATGGTTTCTTCATTTTGGTTGTTTTGTTTTATGCATGTAGTGGGTATTATTGGTTGCAGTCAACCTTAAAGCAAACTGGATTTTGCTGCATGGATAAATTTTGGGGAAGATAAAGTACAAGTTGCAGTGAACCTTGGATTGAACTGAGGTTTGTTGTATGTATAAGGTTTTTGTATGTATAGCAGAAACTAAAGGGCTAAACCTATAGTGGCATGGTTTTCCAAACTGAGAACAGTTTTTGTTTTTGCCAAGCTGCACTGGTGCAAGCAAAATGTTGTTATTATTTATTATTTATTAATATTTTTCATATAAAAAACAAAATATATTTTTACTTACTGCAACTTGATTGTTTTATTTTAATTGCAAATCTTTTCTCAAAAATATGTTTCCAGATGTTTAGTAATATAAAAATATAGATATAGTTTGGTTTTGTTAATCAAATGAAAAAACACTATTTGTTTATGTTTTGTATAGTTGTATTTTATTTTTCTTTTTGTTTTGGTAAAAGATTTTTTAGATTTAAATTTAACAGTTTGCAGCTGAAATTTAAGTTTAGCCTACTGGACCTAGCTGCTAGGAAGTTGCAGTTAGGTTCAGTAGGCTGAACCTAACTGCACCTTCCTGGCAGTTAGGTTCAGTAGGCTGAACCTAACTGCAATTTCCCTGCAGTTAGGTTCAGTAGGCTGAACCTAACTGCACCTTCCTGGCAGTTAGGTTCAGTAGGCTGAACCTAACTGCAACTTCCCTGCAGTTAGGTTCAGTAGGCTGAACCTAACTGCAATTTCCCTGCAGTTAGGTTCAGTAGGCTGAACCTAACTGCACCTTCCTGGCAGTTAGGTTCAGTAGGCTGAACCTAACTGCACTTTGGTGACAATTAAGTTCAGCAAGCTGAATCAAATTAAAAAAATTAAAGGACCAGATAACCCCACATGTTACCAACTTCTTTAGACTTAGACTGAGCAGAGAAAGCGAGAAGGGAAGAGGAAGTATGAGAGTGATGGAGGGACGATGGTGGTATGTATGTAGGTATGTATGTAGGTAGGTGAGTTTGTGTGTGTGTGTGTATGTATGTTCAAGTACAGTGAGGGAGGGAGGGAGTGAGTGAGGGAGTGAGTAGATGGATTGTGTGAGTTGTGTGAGTTGTGTGAGTTGTGTGAGTTGTGTGTGTGAGTGAGTGAGTGAGTGAGTGAGTGAGTGAGTGAGTGAGTGAGTGAGTGAGTGAGTGAGTGAGTGAGTGAGTGAGTGAGTGAGTGAGTGAGTGAGTGAGTGAGTGAGTGAGTGAGTGAGTGAGTGAGTGAGTGAGGGAGTGAGTGAGTGAGTGAGTGAGTGAGTGGAGTGAGTGAGTGAAGTGAGTGAGGGAGTTGGTGGGCCCCCGTGTCAGTGCCACGCAAAAGCGGCGGAGCCCGACCCCTTGGCCAGTGCACATTGTCCCACGCCTGCCACGCAAAAGACGCGGAGCCCGAGGGACGCCAGGGCGTACATCCGACCCCTTGGCAGTGCACATTGTCCCACGCCTGCCACGCAAAAGAGGCGGAGCCCGAGGGACGCCAGGGCGTACATCCGACCCCGTGGCAGTGCACATTGTCCCACGCCTGCCACGCAAAAGAGCGGAGCCCGAGGGACGCCAGGGCGTACATCCGACCCCTTGGCAGTGCACATTGTCCCACGCCTGCCCGACGCCACATACACGAAGCGGAGCCCGAGGGACGCCAGGGCGTACATCCGACCCCTTGGCAGTGCACATTGTCCCGCGCCTGCCACGCAAAAGAGGCGGAGCCCGAGGGACGCCAGGGCGTACATCCGCCCCTTGGCAGTGCACATTGTCCCACGCCTGCCACGCAAAAGAGCGGAGCCCGAGGGACGCCAGGGCGTACATCCGACCCCTTGGCAGTGCACATTGTCCCAGCGCCTGCCACGCAAAAGAGGCGGAGCCCGAGGGACGCCAGGGCGTACATCCGACCCCGTGGCAGTGCACATTGTCCCACGCCTGCCACGCAAAAGAGGCGGAGCCCGAGGGACGCCAGGGCGTACATCCGACCCCTTGGCAGTGCACATTGTCCCACGCCTGCCACGCAAAAGAGGCGGAGCCCGAGGGACGCCAGGGCGTACATCCGACCCCTTGGCAGTGCACATTGTCCCACGCCTGCCCCGCAAAAGAGGCGGAGCCCGAGGGACGCCAGGGCGTACATCCGACCCCTTGGCAGTGCACATTGTCCCACGCCTGCACATTGTGCCCACGCCTACGCAAACAGACCTTGGCGTACACGCCTGCCACGCAAAAGAGGCGGAGCCGAGGGCGCAGGGCGTACATCCAACAACTTGGCAGTGCCACATGTCCCACGCCTGCCACCGCAAAAGAGGCGGAGCCCGAGGGACGCCAGAGCGTACATCCGACCCCGTGGCAGTGCACATTGTCCCACGCCTGCCACGCAAAAGAGGCGGAGCCCGAGGGACGCCAGGGCGTACATCCGACCCCTTGGCAGTGCAGATTGTCCCACGCCTGCCACGCAAAAGAGGCGGAGCCCGAGGGACGCCAGAGCGTACATCCGACCCCTTGGCAGTGCAGATTGTCCCACGCCTGCCACGCAAAAGAGGCGGAGCCCGAGGGACGCCAGAGCGTACATCCGACCCCTTGGCAGTGCACATTGTCCCACGCCTGCCACGCAAAAGAGGCGGAGCCCGAGGGACCATATATAATTCTATTTGTGCATACATTATACAATCAAACATGCAACATATACATAAACTAAGGGCACCACACATCATAACAACTACATATGCACACACACACATATATATATATATATATACACATATGGAACCACCATCAATTCGATCCAGCTTGATCCCCAAAGGAGATCCACCCAGC